ATTGTCCGATTCCATGCTAAATTTCAAGGATTACTTGGAAAAAGTAAGAGTGCAAAAACTACATTTTGGATTACGTGGAATTCGCCAGCAACCGGCGAATTCTGGCAGATCCGCCCAATGGAGCCGGCTACTATGACCATTCCACCTCCCGGTTTTTGCGTGTCTTTTGGAAAACATTTAATATATTCTAATAAAAGCAGTCATCAATAAAAGTCATTTTTGTTGGTATCTTGTCTCCTTTTTGGTCGTTGGGTGATTTTTGTAACGAGCTCTAACAATTCAATCAAGAACACAATTGGTACGCTGTGCACCATGTCGAATGGACAGAAGAGAAAGACTGACGATAAATCTGCCTCGATTACCTCTGAACTGTCTTCTGCCTCCTTATGTCCTAATATACTCCTACTTCCGCATTCAAGTCACTAAAGTAAACAAAATTATAATTTGGGATTATATCAAAGGGCAACACTGTCCGATTTTAGGCTAGACTCCAAGTAGCAGTTGGAAAGAGCTAAGCCGGATTTATTATCATAATTTAAAAGAAAGAAATAGCGTAAGACAAGCCAACATGACGGCTACAGAAGCCTTCAGTCTTTACTCGATTTCGGGTTGTCGCGCTTAGAAAGCTAATAGAAACATCTCAGTTTACTCTCCTATCCCCCAATGAAGGCAGCCATGTGCTTAAAGAGACAAATATCTAGTAAGCGCTTGAGTTGCACATAGCTGCGCACAGTTTGTAGCTGATTGAAATGTTCGTGTGCATATAGTTATCCCACAATGACGTAGTAGTAAACACCTTACTTTGAGATGGTTGTTAATGATAAGTGGAATTTTAAAAGTTACTACATCGGTATTCTTTCTTTGAATAGACCTTTCGTTAACTGCTGTGATTCTATTCCGCTTTCATCAAATCGTAGTTATTATCATTTCTTGGGTGCCAGAAAATCGTGTCAAACTTGAGAAAGCACCCAGACCTTGCGGTTACTAAATAAGGCACAAAAATTAAGAGGCCAAGTGAGTGGAAGAGGGGAGCATAAAGCCAAAGTTTGAGCAGAACTTCGAATTGATAACCCTCAACCGTCCGGATCTCGATGGCGTGAGGAAAGAAGTTGAGTATAAGTATCCTTCAAGTTGAAGAACACTTTAATTGTGGGAGTAATTTACCAGGATAATTAGCTTCCCATGCGTGGCTTTATAGAACCTAGACGAGGAACGATTCTGAGTAACTCTTGCGAAAAAAATTTATAAAATTACAGAATAGGTCAGGAATAAAAATCTCTAGGATTTATTGCACAACAGTCGTGCGATTGAGGAGTGAATACGGTTTTTCAAAAATGGCGCTTACAGTATGAAATTTAGCAAAGTTATTATTTACGATGAGTGGCCCACTTAAATATTTTTAATTCACTCTTTTATTTTCAATCTGTTTAAACTGGCTTTTTCGGAGCAACTTCAGAATACCCGTCCACATCATTTACATATGTCGGGAGGCTTTGAAGAATGAGGTATAATACAATAGACGCTATTCTTATTCAGTGACCTGTAAATGATGTGGCCGGGTATTCTGAAGTTTTTTCTTCTATCGAACTCGGCGAAACAATTATGAGAATAATTAATACTTTTCTATCATTTCTATGGATAAAAAGTAACTTTATCAGCCTATCTTATTCAAATATAAAGAGATGGTTCCCAAATTATTTTTGTTTCCATTGTTTTCTTGTACTGTCTTATCGGTAACAACTATAGCTCAAGGGATTCCAAATTAGCATACGTAAACTAAAAATATAATTTGCATCATAGAGTTTGTAATAGACTGTCTTCGATTAAAAATGTCCTCCATTAAAGTTCGGATTTTTGCGCCAAATTCTGTTAGCCCTTCTCTGGTAAATTGGGATCGAAGAAAGGGATAGTTTAAATGGAATTTTAGTTATCAATTCTGTTTTTAATGTTTTTCATTTGTCAGCAGTTTGATAAAATTTATCGTGAGAGGTCAAGCTTCATCTGAATGGACATGGAATTCGCCTCTAAAATTGCAAACGTATTAATCGTATTTATTTCGTAAATGCAAACCTCTTTTATCAAGCTAAAAGCCGCTTCAATCTGGCTTTGATGAAACGTGAAATTAACTTGTGACAAAAGGAAATAATTATTTCCTATCTGATTTGTGACAAATACTGCTGGATACGTCAGCAAGTTATGTCTGTCTGTCAGGTAATTCCCTGTCTTAGATTTTTTAGCTTTGTCGGGTTGTTCGATTTCTGATGAAACATGACGCATTAGAAGCCCAGAGTGATTTTAAGAACTCTTAATTATGACAAAAATAATAACGATTAAAAACTATGTATATTGGGCTTCTTAGCAACACTAACCTATGGTTTGTAAATGACTAACTGTTCAAACCCGCTCAAACTGGGATTTACTTATGAACATATCATTTTCTAACTTTGTCTTAAAAGGTTATTACCACCATATGACACAAAAGATCGAAAATTTATTTGAGTTTGAATTGATCGTTAACGCAAGCGCAAAGGCATTATATCCCACAAAGAAGGGATAGCAGAGAAAGACAATATAAATTGTTCACACTCCCTTATTGTACACGAGGTCCGGATGGTTGAGGGTTACCTAATCCAATTCTTTGAGCACCCCTCATCCGCTTGATTGACCTCATTTTTTCTTAATTTGGGTAACGATTTTTTAGTTTGGTTATCTTTTGGCTTATAATTTGGACTACCATTTGAGAATCACAACGGTTTTCTCAATGAAGTAAACAAAATTATAATTTGGGATTATATCAAAGGGCAACACTGTCCGATTTCATGCTAGGTTCCAAGGGGCACTTGGAAAGACTGCAAAAGAGGATTCCAAACTGGCTCCGTTACTTTGATTCATTGCAAACAAAATTTGCAAGCTGTTTTGAAAATCTTTGCTTTCCTCCGCCATCCGGATTTATTACCAAAATTTAAAAGAAAGAAATAGCGCAAGTCAGGCCAACTTGACGGCTACAGAAACCTTTAGTCGTTACTCGGTTTAAAAAAGTACGGACGTCCATCGATCAAATTATGAGATGTAAGTGACCACAGTTGGTCATCTTACAAAAGGGCAGAGGTCCAGTTATGAAGAAGGTTTATGTAAACCTCCCACACTACGGACGTTACCCGCTGAAGGATGAGGTACAATGATTGTATTTATATTAATCGATTCTCTTCTTCCGTCTTTATGGTAAGGCTGATAATGAACTCCACGCTGCGCGTGCGTCGTTCAAATTGTCATGAAAAGGTTCAAATACTTTATTTTAGAAATGTCAAGAGTTAAATGTAGATCTCGTTATTTTTTCTCAGTATAGATTTCAGATTTTTCCATTTTAAAATTTAAAAAATTCGTACTTTTGACATTTGTTATAGCAACTCAAGCGTGACCTTTTGAGATCCCACTGACCCATTGCGGCTGAAATCGAATTTAAATTCAAGCTGTAAATACATGAATTCTGATCAAGATGCTGGGGACAATGTCGTAATTAACACTTGTGACCATCTTAGCAAACTGTATGTCAAAAAGAACGCTCATTCTTAAAACATTTGGAAAGTAATTTTGTGTAAATAGCGTAAGAGAAGTTGCAATTGGTCATCTTGGTCAAGTATAGGCTTGTCTCACCATATAGACACTGTAGTCACCTCCGCTGCGGCCGGATCACGCATTTCGTTAAAGAAACGATTACGCTTCGTAGAAAAATTTTTCGCTTTAACTCAAAGGTGAATGATTCGGGCTGTGGTTTGGACTGATTTCGCTCAGGCTAGAGATGAAAAGCAAGGTGGTTGATGTTCCTTTTTAAAAATCAATCAGGAAGGAACAGGTCAGCTTACAGCCTTTGTCACGCAAGCCTTTGTCATGCAAGCCTTTGTCTCTCCCGTTGCTATTGTCTCTTCCTTCATGTTTCAGGTTTTTATGTCAGTCGCAGCTCGTTTCCTCCGAAAAGAATGTCAGATGACGAAATTCGTATTTGAAAACATAGTATAAAGGAGATAAAACTGGGAAATATCCGATGATATCCTCTAAGTAATTTTCCTAAAATTTTAAACAATTTGCCCAATAAAATGAGTCTTCTTTCACTGTTCGTACAGAGAAAGAGACAAACTTTTTCGGTCATAAATCCAGTCTGAAAAATCAATATCCGTCATCTATGGGAAGCTATTTGTACATGTATCGGTTCGTGTTGTGCGAAAAAAATCTGAAGACAGCTTATAGATATCATCGTCTATTTGTAATTAGACATCCACTGCTATTCGAGGCTCCGATTTTTTGCGAACTTAACTTTACACCCGGAAAACTAAGGGCCTCGCAGAAAAGATCAACCCCACGAATTAATATCCGAGAAGAGGTTTTCACTAAGGTGCACGTGTTTGTAGTCCGATTAATCCTTATCTTGGGTTAAAATACGTTGACATGGTAGCGCTGCAGCACCCTTTCGGATCGTGCCCCCAACATGTGGATCCTGTAAAAGCTGCCTGATGGGTAGAGTCTTAATAACTACGCTAGTTTGGATAATCAACCCTCACGAACCACTGAAAAACCGCAAAGGCAGTGATGCAGACAAACGGTCGATCATTGATTTTGTTATCTTAGTGCCTTGGAAAACCAGGGAAGACCAGAAGAGGCTAAGAACAAAGCATATTTTTAAACAAAAAATTGCTATTTTTAAAATCTATCAATTCCTCAAACATGTTAACAGTTACGATAACCGTTTTAATTATGCTCAGTAGCACCTGCCTCTAATAATGCCATAAATAAACGTGTCAAATTTTCTCCTTTGAGAATGATCGAGGGAAATGTTGACGTCGACGGACTTCGCTTTTGCTTTGTTAGGAAATTGTTTCAATATTTCGATTCAGTTGTTTCAAGCTGATTCATTAACTTTGAGAATGCGAGTTAACAGCCAGTGTTTTTCCTTCATTACCATGGACACTGAGTTAAGACGATTAATAATTTAAAGTAACAAAAAATTTGCATATTTGTGTTTGTTTTGCAAACCAGAAGGTCCTCGAGAATCGAGGAAATTATGCACAATTCGGTTTTCTTTTCGTATACGAAGAAAAATTGCGTGAACAACTAAAGAAAATGTGGAGATTTATATTCCTTTTCCTCTTCCTTCGTGAGGTACTGTTGTTTTTGAGCTCATTTTTATGAATTTCTCACCTGATTCCTGAGTCCGAAGTGTGACTGTCGACTTACACGTATCTGATATTTCTCTGTAGGCCGAAAAGGTTTATTCTGCGGCTGAAAACCGAACCACAACGATCGTCACGGGTAAGTTAAGAATATGAAAAGTCAGAAATTAGGCGATCAAGTTAGCATCACATTTGAAGCATTATCTCATATTATTTATCCGCAAAACCAACCGTTAATAAAGTTTGCTCTTATGCATGCGGGACTAGGCGTTTATTCCGTTTTCCGTAAACGTTTCATAGCACATCGAAAAATAATTAACAGATTTCAAAGTCTCTAATTTTTTTTTTTCAACTCCGCTTTTTGGTCAGCCCCGAAAAATTTGCCGAGTAATTCTAAGGTTTACTTATCATTTACGATTGGACTGCGGTTGGTCTTTGCGGAAGACTTTATCGTCAATGACTGAGGATCGTGGCTAAAAAATTTTGACCTTGAGATCTAGCTTGTAGATGTAAAAGAGATTTTGCACTTCATTTGAAAGCAATTTGACTTTCTAACCACAGAAATGGCTAGAAATTGTTAAACTGCGTGGGTTTTCACAAGATTCCCCAGATGAAAACTAGCTAAAAAAAAAGTGTAATTGTAATGCTATTGTTATGCATGTTGTATAAACATACGTACAGGAGCCGTTATTGATCGACTCTCTAAGAACCATCATAGTGGCAATGATACTATCAAGATAAATAAAATGAGTGGGCTGGCAGTCCGGTTTAGTAGTCGTACACACACACACACAAAAAAAGTGAGTACACTTATATGTTTGAGTCGGTGACAAAGTTGCAGTGCCACGATACACAGTGTGTGGTAACACGACGGTACAAGGTTTCTTTTAGAGTGGTTCATTCTGTATTCAAAATCAATCTCGATCCTTTTTCTTCTTATTGCTCTTAAAGCATAACGTGACTGAATATCCCCGGCTAAAACTAAACTGATATCAAAGTAATATTCCCAAGTTGCAATCAAACCTGAATTATGAAAGAGAGTTTCGCTCAGAAAAAGAGATAAAACCTCGTCTCTCGAGAAAGGAAATGTTTGAAAGACATTCAAATTGAAAAATATGGGTGAATATCACGATTTGTATAGATCTGCAAAGTGATGTGTTGTTGTTGGCTGATGCAGTGTTTGAAAATTTCAGAAAGACATGTTTGCAATAATTATTACAAAGTTCAGATCCTTGTCATTATTTTACAAGTCCTGGTCTTAGTTGGAATGCAATATTTAAAATGGTTGGCATCAAACTTGAACTCAATGATAACAGATGTTGACAAATTTTTATTCATTGGAAAAGGGATCGTAAGCAGCCACAAACCCAAAAACTTCAGAACACTTTCAGCATTCTGAACGTATGTAAAGCCATTAAACTGGGCCTGTCCACGCAGAAGGATTTTTTGTTTTAAGAGACCTAGAATGCTTAGGCTAAATTTAGAGGCTTATCTAAACATTTATGCGATAAAATGAGTACCTGATGGGCTCTCATTTTCTTAATCATGTTTGAAGAGATATGGTGAAGAAATTTTCCCTGTATCTACAATGTAGTGTAAGATTGAAAAACTAAATTGAAAGAAGTCAGAAAATGCCCTTAAAGATCATTTTTCAACCCGGCAAAATTGGTTAATAAATCATTTTGTTAATTTGAAGTCAAATGTTTTAATCTTTCATTTCATTCGATATAAATTCTAATATTGACTTATAACGCTGTATAGGAGTCGGTGAGTGAATTTTGAGTACTCACAGTATTAGGTAACTCTTTCCATTTCTTTCTGCGTAGCTACTCGAGCTTTGTACAACTGCCGAAGCCAAATGGCTTGTGAGGAAAAATGATACTTTGTCGCACAATTGTAACGATTGTCTGATTTTCAGAGAGCACTGTAATATCAAACACGACAGCAAGTGCTTCAGCTAGCGCAGATGTCCCACCCAGTGCTTCGTCGGAAAGTACAGCTGTTTCTGGAACAGTGACACTGGAAATGAGCACATCCATATTTGGCAATATATCTGGAAATAATATTCAACCGTCGGCAACCGCTGACTCGCAGCAAACTTCGCAGACTGTAAATGCACCTGCAACAGGTACTTCTCTACGCTCTGTGTAAATTCAATTTTGTTTATCTTTAAAGTCGAGTTTAATTCTCCATCTACTCAATTACATAGCTATGTTCACGAGTGTATTTTAGTTTAATATTTTGGGAGGTAAAAGTCAGCTTGTTTTTCCGTAGATGGAATAAATGTTATCAGTGTGACATCTTGCATCGAATGCAGTGTTACAACTGGAATATATCGTTCACAACCTAGAGAACTGAACTGACGTAAATTGAAACCTCTAGTTAATTAAGCATCCTACAGTGAGGGACTTATAGGATTTAGGATTTTAATCATAATTCTTAACTTTTAATTCACTATTAGTAAGGTGTCCACAAATAGTTTACGTAAATGTAAGCTAGAACTACCCGACCCGTTAATAAAGTTTTTATCTTATCTTATCTTAACTCTACCTGTGCACTTGGGGATCCTCTATTAATTTTGTAACAGTTACATGCGTCGTAGTCAACCGTGAAAAATTTACCAGTAATTATACGCACAACTGAGACGTTATTTTGTTTAATTAATTACCATACCACTAAAATTTCAGCTGCCCCCAAGCTGGGCTGTATGAATGTCAACTGGAATAACCCCGTATGTCAGGATCCAAAGTGCGTAAAGGTAGGTTAACAAACACGTGCATAGGTTTCCAAGATTTCTTACATAAGGCGGGCGGGAAATTTTTGATGAGAATGAAAAGGAGAATTTTTTTTGAGACAAATTAGCATTAAGAACTCAGGAAGGGAGAAATAGGTCGGTGCTTCGTTTGTGTGTACGTGTAACTTTAAAAGATATATAGGGTTCGTAATGATATTTAAGAGCGCGCACCAAACCTGCTAAAACACTGTTGAAGACATTTCCACTCCAGAAAGAGACTCTGTTCAAATTACATTATATGTTCTGTTGAAGCTAGACTCGAGAAACCCATTACCATAGAACCTTAAAACCTTACACAGTCGAGAAGCACAGAGGCTTTTAATTTAGGCTACAGTGAAGATGTGAGTGTCACTTCCGGTTTGATATGATTTAACCGAAACTGCGATCGGGGAAGGACTGATTTGCATAAAAAGCGGGCACGTACAGATCTGCCATCCAAACCCATCTTTGTTTGGAACGTAAATAAAACTGGATTTTTTTTTAATTTAATTCTTCTTTTAGGATCAGATGATGGCCGTTTCTAACTGTATGAAGGTAACGTGCTCTTACTTTTGAATAAATAACGAACTAATTGATCAAAAACCAGCTGAAACAAAGAATGATTATTTTTACCACTCTCCTGTTTGTTTCAAAGCTATATTTGGAGAGTGACACCAATGAAAAAGTAATTTTAACTAATAGAGCGCATTGCCAAGGCTTAGCTCTGTTTGTTATGTAAATGAGATCAAGATTTTGCTACGTTTTGGCCACAACCCTAGCGCCGTTTATTTGCTAACACCTCAACTAAATTACATTGTCTAGAAATGTGATTTATTTCTAGCAAAGGTGAAGGCAAAACTGCCTCGTGAACCCGATGATACCCCTACACAAACACACTACCACGGGAGGGAAGTGGGTAGGAAAACGTTTCAGATCTGAAGCTGGAAAATTAGAGGACCGAAACCTGGTCTGCATGGATTTAAGCCCTCATAACTAAGAGTTCCGTATGTAGACTGACCCTAACTAATTAAATATCAACTAATGAATTTGAATATATGAAAATCATATTTCTCTACCGCGGTTATTTAAGAAATGTATGAAAGCGATCCTCGCAGTAATGAAAACTACTTAAGCATTAGTGAAAATAGGGCCTGAAAAAAATTCTGGCCTCAACGGGAATTGAATCCATGACCTCTGCGATGCCGGTGCAGTGCTCTAGCTCAGTTGGTAGAGCACTGCACCGGTATCGCAGAGGTCTGAATTTTCTTCAGACCTTATTTTCATTACTACTTAAGAAGTGTTCATTACTGCGAGGATCGCTTTCATACATTTCTTAAACATTAACTGGCGTTGCTAGCTGCATGAAATAATCTATTCCCTATAGGAATAAATCTTCTTTTAACTTTACTGACACTATTGGGAGATGCCCGCCATGCTTTGGCCAACTCCTCGTTATTTAAGTTTAAGATTCGCTTAAAATATCACAAGAAAATTTTAAAAGTTCAAAGGATCAATACATAGCTGCCGTTCATTTCTACAACAACAACTTCGTTATTACGTATTTCGCAGAAACACATAAGATCTTGCTTTGAATTCAAAAACTCAACCATTTATTTTCACAAATGTTTCCATAATCGAACCAATAAGGTAGGTTTTCTGCGGACAGAAAGTGCACTTTAGCAAGCGAAGTTACAATGCACATGAAACACAACAAAACTTACCGACTGTTTCGAGCTTAGAGCGTCCAACAAGGACAATTTACGGTAACAAAAAATGTGCTAGTACGAATAGGACAGTTCTCCTTTAATGAGCGCATGGTAGATTTCTCGGATGCTTACGTACGAATATAGGCAAGCAATGGGAGCTACATTCGTAAAATCATCCAATTAATTTGGAAGGGAAGGATTTTGCGACTCTCCCCTTTCTGCTTTTTTTAGGACAAGCCAGAAAATTTTTCTTTTCCAAACATGGACGTCCCAGAACATGTCATGGACCTGGGAATGTCCCTCGCAAAGACAATAAAGGCTAATGATGTAAACAAGACTGAAGTAATCATCACGGATAATATGGGTAAGGATCTCAGCCCCTGAGACCTTGAGAAAAAAATCTAGATATACTTCTTAATACTTAACAAGTAGAAAATTCTCTTAATGACAGTGCTATATGTCATCACTGTTGATCTAGTTCCGTAAAGGAGTAAAGGAGCGGTTTAAAATACGCATTGCGGACCTTTTGTTTTTTTATTTACGCTCAAGACAACGAGCAAGAGCGTGTTGGAGCCTCCAGAAGCGCGAGTCACATGCGAGAAGAGGAGTGCGATAAAATACTGAGCCTGTAACCACCCTACTGTTGAAGCTGTTTCTCCGTTCATGTGTGAACTGACCTATCAAATTGGTTATTTGATATCATGTGATCATCGATTGTTTTTCAACAACAGCGTGGCAGTCGTATCATGCTGTTGTATTGAGGAAGCTATTTGAGATGCCCTTCATTTAATTTCGAACGAGCCAGCTGTAAAGGATAAGCAAAGGAAATGCGTCCATGATATATCTACCAGCACAAAATAATAATTAATTGATTTATTTTTTGCTTTCAGCTATGGAGGTCGGTCTTTTTAACTGTGGAGAAAAGAAAAACAGCACCGAGAAACCTGCACTCATATTTCCCAGCTACTCTCACCCAGAATTCACTGACAAGTGGAAGGCTATGGGTGATTCGGTTGCTTTCCCATTGGAAGAGCTTCCTCTATCCGGTAAAAACGCTAGAAGAGAAAGGGACGGCGAAAACAGTGTTATTTAAATATATTAAAAGCATTATGTTATTCTATTTTGATCAATTCACTCAACCAAAGAGCATTAAAAACAGATCTAGACTCTTAAACAATGTTTTCCCAACCAAGTTTTCTGAGCGAGAAATCCGGTTGCCTCGGCCACTTTTCAAGATTCCAGGTTCTTCTCCTCTTTGTGGGCTCATAACTTTGGAGCTACTGCAATCTTCAACAGAATTTTACTTTGAGAATTATTTTGCGTCAGTTATTCTACGTGACGAATTGGTTTCCCACGAAAGATTGGCAAAAGACCAAAATTTGTGCATGAGCAATAAGATATTACATTTTCTTTACTTTTCTTCGGTGAGTCTGAAGAAATATTTACATGGAACAGTACAAAGCATGTTCCAACAAAGGCAATTTCTGACCGGACTACCGAAATTCAGGCATTGCATTTCACATGCTCTAATAGATCTTATTTTCTGTACAGGGGATGTCATGTATTCTGTCGCCATTTTACCAGATGTCATGGGAGGATCATATCTGGATAAAGACATGATGGCTTGGCAGGACAAGTAAGCTTACTTTTTTTGTTACACAGGCTTGTTGAGCATTGGATTGATAATCTATATGATCGGTTAAACTGGGTTCCATCGCCTTTTGTTGCTGCTACGTTCTACTTCCTTATGAAATGGAAAATGCTTTAATTTTAAAAGTTTGATTTGTATTGGCAATCTGTTTTCATTTTCTCCATTACAAGCTGTATCCTTGTTTCTTCTTGATTCTTGGAATTTTTTCTTTTTTTTTTCATTTTATCGCGCTAATATTTAGTTGAATACATGTAAGTTTTGTACGTCACTCCCAACTCCCCTAGCCCCTCCTTAACACCAAATTTAGATATCGTGAAGAAGCTCCATTAAATAAAGTCATCTATTTTCGGTTTGTAGCCATATTCCAGGTTCAGCTATGTCTGAACTGTACGTGATTGGTGACAAACTCATGACCCGAAAGAAAGTTCCAAAGAGACGAATCAACAGCAACTTGCTGTCCGCGAAATTTCTTCATAAAGACAAAAGTAGAATGCTGCGTGGACCAATGACAAAACCAGTCTTGATCACGCTGCAACATCTTCATGTAAGCTCTTTCAATAAAACATCGATACGTCAATGTGTGGTAAAGGATTTACAAGAACAGTTAACAACTATTCACCGAAGTGGAGGTGGTTAGTGGTGGATATTTACCGAGCCGCTTCGCAGCTCGGTAAATATCCACCACTAACCACCTCCACTTCGGTGAATAGTTGTTTTAGTATATACTAAAACAGTGAGACAATATACACTACCGTCGTTAATTTGAGTGATTTCTTCGCTTGTCACGGATGCAAACGGGGCGCCATTTTTTCCCGAGTTGCTCGGAGGTAAATAGCAAAGGATATTCGGAGTTTGACTAGCCAATCAGAGCGCGCCTTCAACGCTATCCACTGTTTTAGTATATACTAATATACTCTACCCTAACTGTGGTCATGCACTTCTAGCATTTACCGAGCCTGCCGGGCAGGAGTGATTTTGGCCAGCGCCTGCTCGCCACCCAGACACTGCATGCCAGCATTTATTGCTTAAGGACGTCTTCTAAATAACATGTCAGCTTTTTTTCTTTATGTCGTTTAACTGAGTTTTTCATTTTCCTTAAATAAATCGCGCCAAAGTAAGAATTAGGACACTACAAGAGAAAGTCCCAATCAGAACGGTATGGTTGGTAGGATCAAATAGATCCTGTGATTTATGAACATTTCGTTGAGGTTAACTTCATACATTTTATGGAACTCGACCTAAATCTTTATTTTCTACAGATCACTGAAGATCATTTTGATCCAAAATGCGTTTACTGGAATAGAAGGTAAGAGGAATGAGTGCTTTTTATAACGTAATATTTCATGTCGTAATCTATGAGAGTTCGCTCAAATGAACGCTGTTGTTGCCTTTTATATGCGAAGAAAAACGTTATCAGTCAATTGACGGCGGATCCTCTCTAAGGCATACAAGTTATCCAGTGAGTAGGGGTGGGAAAGAATTAAAAAAAGATATATTGTCCTAGTCGTAATGCGGCAGTCGAAAACGATTTTTCTCCACCATTATGAAAGATGACTGTTAGCTGAAACGTCAATGTTTCCGCCATAGCTTGTTACTAAAGGAAAACTAAAGTCGAAGTTTATAACATAATGTGGTGCTGAAGAGTTTTGAGTCTTGAACCTTTGACATAAAAATATTTCACCTTCTTTATTTTAGTCTCAAAGCGTGGTCCAATGATGGTTGTAAAGTTGGAAAAACCAGCAAATCAGAAACCGTCTGTGAATGCACGCATTTTTCAACATTCGCGCTGGTAATGAGTGTAAATGAGAAGGTTAGTGGTTTAATACAATGTAAAGAGGGTTTGATCGTACCGTCACTTGGGCTGTTCGAATCTTCAAGGTAACTGTTAAACTGGTAAAACTGGTCATTGATCCCAACTAGAGCCACTTTTAAACCTCCTGCAATGCTGAAAAAGACCACGCGCGCTATTCTCGTTTAAAAGCAAAGGGACAACTTGAACGTCTGTTCTGAGATACACGTTTTATCGCAATTCGACAGTTTGGTGCACTTCTCCTGTGAACCATACCGCTTGCATTAAGTTGCATTTATGCGATGAATTAGTGCAATCAGTATGATGTTCGGTTGCACGATTACGGCAATCAAGTTATGGGACATGGAAGAAAGTGCCATGGTGAACCTTCAACCTTGTTTTCAACGGAAAGGGAATTTCGAACCTCGACTCTTTTATAAATAGCGCTCGAAACTTTCCAAATGTGTTTTTTTTAATGGGGAGGATCTGTGACATATTCACCAAAACTTTCTTTAAACGACGGCAATATAGCATCAACAAAAGGGAAAAACTACACCGCGAGCTCCGAGCAACCATTACCAGTCATCGTTCCAGAGTGCATTGCGCACTATTCAAGATGGCGGCCGCGGGAAATTCGAAGTGACTGCTAGAACCTTCTTGGAAAACAATAAAAAAAAAAGCAAATCGTATAGTGAGGCAAATTTTCATTGAGAAGTACATTCGCAACATTTTGAGCGCTATTTGTTAAAAGAGGGGAGGTTTCTTTAAAACTCCACTGGGATTCTGCATTTCGGGGATTGTTGTTGTTTTCATAATTGAATTGCCGGAGGGACAGTGGATATTTGGTTTTATTTTTGCATCAGTGTGAAGCGATAATTTGAAAGCTGTGCTAATAGCTGCGAAGTAATTTTTTTGTCATGTATTCATCTTCTTAGGTGGATGACGCGGATCGCAAAATGGTCGTTACTGTGGCTACTGTATTAGGATCATTCTCCTTGCTTGCTTTGCTGATCTGCGCTATTGTCGCCATTGTTATCAAGTAAGAAAGTTTTTCGTGACACTGCTGTTTTTTCAGAAAGCATTAATACCATTATCACATGGAAAAAGCACCAAATACTGTGTTGCGTGACCAGCTTATAGGAAACTCAATAAGGGTCAAGAAGAGTTTCATTTCTTCTTTTAAATTACCGCCCAGTCTTAACAAAGGTCTTATCCAATACCTACGATATTGGATATGGAAACTGATACAGGCCCTTAAATACAAGCATAAAATGCTTTGCAACCTTAACTAGCAGAAATAAATAGCACTAAAGCTATCACTTCAGAATTTTGGATTTGCCTCGTCAAGAAATATGCTCATAATCAAGGGGAAAACTTAATGATCCGAACAGAAAAAGCAAAACCAAAGAAAGGAAGATTAAAAAGTAAACTTGTGTAAAATAGACGGTGATTTCATTCTTACATTGCTTCACTGCTCATTGGATATGCAATTCTTTACTTCAGCTATCATCAGAGGGACAACATGCGCATTGCTCTTAACATTGACGTGTCTCTTTTGCTCAGTCAGCTGGTTTTCTTCATTGGTTTATCTACCGGCCATAACTCGGTGAGCACAATTTGACTCCAATCCTCTCCGCGCTAAGAAACCGATCATTACTCCCTCGAAGGAAAGGGTTTAGAGGTGTTTGTTAACGTCATGATAAAATCATCTGAACCCCTTAAGGTTTAATTTGAATGATTAAAAACTGGATCATTGTATAATGCAATTCAAGACTTTTTATTAGCTTAGCCATTATGGTATATGAGCCAATATACCACAAACTACAAATATGGTAAGCATACACGTCAGCTTAAAATTAAAAGGGAGCGAAAAAATTTAAGATTTGGTAAGATTTGTCTAATATCTTGGGGGCGTTTTAAATAAAACAATTATTCCACTCGTGCTTGTTGGACATGAGATGATTATAGCCAACTCAGCGCTACGCGCCTCGTTGGCTATCTATCATCTCATATCCAACGCGTGCGAGTGGAATAATTGTTAAGTATTCCCCTCATTGGCAATCAACTTTCTATAGTCCTCTCTTCATCCTCTGTTGGCTACAAATGGTCCACTGAAAACTGTAATCCTCCCAAAAATTCTCCTCCTCCCATCGCCCCACGTTGACAAATAATGACTGGCGACGACTGAACTTCCTTCGTTTAATGACTTGTGGACCCCAAGGCCCCATTCGCACTGATGCGTTTTTTCGTTTTCCGAGCATGCCGACATACTTTTTACCAAATAATGTCGTTGCAACTCTCCTTATAGTATTTCGCCAATCCCAAAACATGTGACGTGGTCAATCCTTTCGTGCACTTTTTTGAGCTGGCAGCTCTGTCTTGGTTACTGATGGAAGCAATGTACTACTACTCCACACTCAAGCCGCTGTTCAACGAGAAAAACACTGTACCCATCGTGTTTTATTTCGCTGTGGGATGGGGTGAGTTGTTAAAATGTTTCGCTGTGAGATGGGGTAAGTTATTAAAATGTTAATTGGATTTTTGACTGAAAAAGCTCATTACAGGGTTCTACACAGAATCCTTCAATTTTCTTCATTTTTTAACCCTGTGACTAAACCTTTCAATTTGGATGCAATTTTTAACACGATAACAAATCTGAACAACATACTGACTGAGTTGTTATCTGCTTTGTTATATCTTCATCGTTTTTCGGTGATTAAAGGCGTTTGGATGGAATTTTTGGGAGAGTTCACGAGAAATCCGACGAATTAGGTGTCTTTAGATCTACAGAAATCGAAATCTTACTTCGAAAGACCAAGAGTTATAGAATATCTTTCAAGAGAATAAAGTCATAAGCCATCAGCATCGGTTGGTTACACTGCGGCATGACTGATCTTAAAAAACTGTTTGCTTTCGAAATCCTTGTTCTTTCAGGAGTACCTGTAGCCTTTGCAAGCGCATGCGCAGACTTCGCCTACCCTCACTTTGGTGTGCCAGGGAGGAGTGAGTTGTAAGTTCTTTCAATTGTACTTGCTGATTGATGGTTTAAAGGAATTTTCAAATTAGACTTAATGAGAATGACAATTACAATTTGCAGATTTAGCATCTCGCCTATCGCTAACTTGAACACCAATGATATAAACGTTTAAGACTAGGAACACGATGACCATCACGATTGCGACCAGCGTAGAACCTCGTCAGATATAATAAAATGCACCGCGCACAGTCTGCTTTTTTTCTTTTCTTTGAAACTACCATGGGATGGACTCCAAGATAAGAACGAAGAAATCCGATCCATGAGCACAAATGCACTGACCGGAAGTATTTGAAAGACTCGGGCGCCCGTCTAATCTTTATTTCACCCTTTGTAGTTGTTGGATGTCTATTCGCGGAGGTGAGGCGTGGTTTTTTGGAACACAAGTGTTGATTCTTCTAGTGGTGAGTTTAATATCTTGCAGCCCATCATTATCAGTGCAACAGGAAGAGCGAATCTCCGCCTTCGGCGAGATTAGAGACAAGTTGGTGAGAGGTTTGCCGGGGGGCCTGGCACTAATAATTATCAGTGGTGGCAGTGCTGCAGACCTCCCGGCGGTTCGTGTTGCTCAAAGCCTGGAAATTTCTCAAAGGCGAAGAAACACGCTTATTTAGGCTCTGAAAACTAGGGCCTACTCGTAAGATATGAGTTTGACTTCTATGGATGTGTTAATAATAATGATAATATTAAATTGGATTATCTTTCGATCACTGCATAGTTAAATCCTAAAAGAATATTTCGTTAGCATTAGCAACAATCACAATAACCAGCTGCTGACTCATTGACTTATCATGTTCTCGGAAGCCTCTCGGAAGGCTTTCAATCAACTTCCACTTATTTGATAATCTTTTTTTTAAGTTGAATCTTGCCGCCCGTGCGTTTATCGCGAAGGAGATCGCTTACTGGGAAGATGATCCGGATGACATCAGAATCGAACAAGCCAGGTAAGCCACAAAGACCTATCACAAGCTATTATCCAACCTTATGAGAGTAACCAGAGTAGCCAATGAAAGCAATATTAAGTAAGTTTTTAAAGAACTAATTATTGTCAAACGCGATGCAGGGGTCGGATGATGACGTCATTAGTGTTAATGATGGTGATTGTGATGACGTGGCTTTTTGGTATCTTGGCTATGAACAACACGGACAAGAAGATCTTCCATTACGTCTTCATTGTTTTCTACACATTCCAGGTAGGAGCGATGGATAATCGTCTCAATCTCTTCTCTTAATAGCCGTTCCATTCCCTAGATCTCATTATTGTTTATTCTTAAAGTCCGCCATTTTCATGATGTTACTTTGGAGAATCTGGTATTTGATCAACTAATAATCCCTCAATTGATATTTTTCCTTTTTCTCTTCACTTTTCTGCTTCAATTTGAATTGAAAATGTAAGGAGAAATAATTGACAGTCACTCACCCCCTTATTACAAATTTCTTTCTCTACCCAATCTTCCGCTGCCTTTTAAATCAATGATGGCGACCATTTTTTGTTACGAAAATACTGAATACTCGCTCGCAGAAAATACGCTTGCGCTGCAGGCTACAACGTTCCCACACGCTTGGCTAAAGGTTTACTTTTAATTTGTCTCAGACAACCAAAGAAACATCAAATAACCAAAATGATAAAAGTATTGAATCAAGGGGAAACTATCCCTGATGAAATGCCGGGTTGACTGCCCGTTATGTGGTTGCACAGTTAGACATCAACTATTACTGAATTCAATGTTCTCCCGTTTATTATGAAGAGGACTGCTTCACTGTTTCAAACATTTCAATTTTATCATTGATGGACATCGCAATACAGTGTTCTTGTCAGTTAGAAAGCTATTCAACACAAGAGTACACGTAATTTGTTTTCTACTACGATAATAAATCCAGATATTCTACTTATTTTTTACCTTATATTTTATTTTACTTTATATTTTACTTACTTTGAAGGGCTTACTGGTTCTACTTTTTTACTGTGTCCGCAACCAGGAAGTAAGTATCATTATTTATCTTGACGCTAGTCAAGGTTATTCTGTTCCCTTTGTCTCTCTGCTTCCCAAATGGCGCACAAAAGACGTTGAAACGCACAATCGAGAGGAGAAGTAATCCGGGATGCATCTATTTAAGTTCTTGTCACTAGATATCAGTGAGTTGGTATGGTTGGACAACAAAGTACTTTTTTGAATTTTTATGTTGGTATCTAATCTCGTAGCCAAATCATGGCATGTATGGCAGCAACGTGCTCCTTCACATCGGTGGGTAACCCCCGGGCTTTTGGGTTTTGCACAGAGCTAACAACCCTGTCATGTGAAAACCTTTTTGTTACGGAAACGGCAACGTATAACTCACATGAAGCATTTGGCCAGAATTAAGGAGCCTCCCCAGTCCAAGCCACAGATAGTAGTGAATGTTGAGGGTAACACACCAAATCAAACTATATTTTCGATGTTTTCTTTGCAGATGTGGGACTTCCACAAGGGCAAAAAGGACGAAGAAGAGAGAGAAAAGGTAGTTAAATCAGAAACGACAACAAAACAAACAAACAAAAAAAACGAAGCATTTTTCAGTGCTTCAATATAAACCTCCCATAAAGTCATGGTTATAAAGGGGTCTTCTTGAACATCATAACCCCTAAGAGAGAATAGCAGCTAGTTTCCGCCCACAGCATCGTCCCTGAATCAAACATTAAGTCCACTGTGAGAATAAAGGAAATCTTCAGAATTAAACAAGTTCTCTTTTTCAGTACCATGGGAAGTGTATAGGGAGCAGTATCGAGAATATGCGAACTAACTTTACGGTCTGCGGCGTTAATCCTATTAGTTGGTAATTGTCTCAACGATACGTACCACAAAGGCAGTCACACCTGCAAAGATAGAGCAGTTGAGAACTAGAATGTAATTCTAAGCCAAGAAATGTTATTACTCCATGTTTACCTTGAGACTCCACTAATTGCTAAAAAAATATTTCATGTTACTGAGGCTAATCTTTATACGTTGTTATACCCAAACCTAAATAATTTGATTAAAAATATGCATCAAAATAGACTGAACCAGTTTATCCAGATAGCATACTCACAGATTTTAACAAATCTATTATTCTTCCTTTTTTTTTTCAGAAAAAAACTTACGACTTTGTGTACCATCCATAAGAGCAAAGAGTGAACTGTCAACACTAGTTGATTTTGTAAAAACAACTTTTGATAGTTGACTGCACCGGCTTTGATTTGTTTCACTAGTTTTTTTTAGTTAACGAACTAAAAAGGACTTACAAAGCAACTGCCTTTTTTCATTGTAGATACCGTAAAAATAGTTCAAGTTCTCATGACGATGTAGGAGAAGTTAAGCAAAACATGTACGGTAAACGGCAAAAAATTGACCTTCTTGGATTTGGCTGTTTGTGTACTAAAACAAAATCATTTGCATTAACCGTGAGCAAGACATTGTTTATATTTCCCTGTTGGATTGATTGGGGAATTAATGGTGAGTGAGCAATTTCAGAGGTCATTCTTACCGTTCACCATTTTCGTAAACGCAACGCTTAAAATTGCTTGTCCTATTCACACTTTCACATATGTAGTATATCTTGATTTTTAATAGATGACTTACCCTATAGACGAGTATGAGTTTTCAGATGAGAAATTTACAGAGATGTAGCCTGAATTCGCAGTTCAAGATCCATCAATGTATCAATTCTAGTGCAATCTGACAATTAGCATTACTCTTCTCGTTTCTATGTAATTTTACACAAGGTCCCTTTCAGGACGAAAGATGTCAATAAACACCGAATAACAATCTACCGTCGCATGTTTCATCTTTCTCCTAAAACAATATTGATCACTCATTGGCGTGAAAGGATGAAATAATTAAGACAGATGCTGTCCTCTATTCTTTGCACGTATATGACCGTCCTGATCACCACCCCTTTAGTCCAAAATATATAATGCTCTTGTGGTCGAGAGGATTAAATGAAATCCATTATGAAGGGTCACCAATTCAACGACCGCACGACTACAATCCACCTAAGTCAACCAGCGGAAGAGGAAATTCGCAAATTGGTCAATTTTGGACAGCAGCGCGTCACAATTCGTTGGCGGTTTTTTTTTTTACTGCTTCTAATATAGTTAATCTCGTTTTGAGCACCTTTCCCAGCGTAACCAAATAACGGCTGTGAGGGAGATGATCCCTCTCAAGGTCTCGAAAACTGGGGAGACTGGAACGACCTGGGTATCAATTGATGAGATGAAGAAACTCAAGCACTTCTCACTAAGAACAGCTATTTAAAAATTTTAATAGCAAATACTACGACCATGACGCCTTATTTCAACAACAAAGCTAATTATATGCCCAGAGATGAAACAAAACACTAGACTAGTTTAGTCTTCTTCAAGAATCCGGCAAACGAGCCTCGAAATTAAATCGCGTTAATTGTTCAAAATAATTTTACACACAGACTCAATAAAACGATTACTTACTCTAAATTTAAATTAATATAAATCACTTGCATGCAAAGATTACATTCTATCCAAGGCTGTATAGAATACGGTACATGTTCTTTTTCATAAACAGTGGTTTAACTGACACCTACACGAAAGCGTCTATGCATAATTTAATAATAAGGCAATCTTTCGAAATAGTTTGAACTATAACGCGAAAGAGTTTGGAGTTATGTGCTCAGTATCCTACCCTCTTGAACCGAGGCTCGGTCACGGTTGGATCACACAGTATCGTTTAAAGTTTATTTCAACTCACTTCTAAGATTTAAATAAGTCTGTTTCACTTTTGTTTAAAAATGGAAATTGTTTCACTTTTGTTCTCCTACAAAGTCACAGGCTCTAAAAGATAATCACTTTGAATAATCCAAAAATATAAACATGAAAGCGGCCGTTAAGTTTGTTTCCAAGGACCAGCAAGGTTCCTCAAAAAATATCAAAACCAACCCCGGAGGGGTAAAGGAAAATTTAAACGGATAGGTTGTCTCTTGAATACAAACTTTTGTTCAAGTAATCGAATTATTAGGGCATAGAACATTACCATTATGTAATCACAACTTAAAATAATGTATGAAGACCTAATCTAATCAACCCTTGCAAATGAAAAGTAAAAGTTGTTATCTAATTCTATGGCAGTAACATAACACTTCTCGAGTTTAAATTCTAATTTGAGGCCCAAGAAATATATATTTTTCTTATTACTATAGTGAGAAAATGCGTGTAAATTACGAAGTGCCACCCATAGTCTTAAAACATAACTGGCTAACTATAAGGAAAATATCAGAAGCTGACAGGCACTTGGGCACATTTGGTTGACTTTAACTATCAACTACAACATGCAATGCAACATCAAACACCAAGCAGTGTTAGACATGCGCTATAAATTAAGGAGAGAGTAGATGCAAACAAGCTATAATAACAAAATGAAGATATCAGTCCTCCGGTATTTTGTCAACTAAAGAACATCTTTGAGCATCAGTGTCAAAGAATCGCTTATAGATTTCATACACGATCATAACTTCTAAGAAACCGTACAGTATACTCTGTACGATAGTACAGCCTCCTCTTATTTTTACCTCTCAAAGCAAGAGCCTTATGGAGCTAAGTCTTTACAACTTATACCTGACTGTTGTGTGGAGAAAGGACACTACTTATGGTTACACGAGCAAGTAAATCTTATTTTTATCATAATGTTCTCCTTTGTGTCCTCTTAAAGTTTTAATCTTTAAAATGCTAAATTCAGGTAAGTCACAAGTCAGTGCAAAACTAAGTAATGCTTTATGAATTGTCTAGTGTTTTCCCTTCACACAACGGTCAGAAGGTGAAACTTGAGCTCATGAGCAGGGAAAATGGCTCTGAAAGCCTGTAAGCTCTCTTAAATAGAATAAATCCTAAAAGTTTTCTTAAAATATCAGATAATTATTCTGACAGTGTCTATAAGCAGTTCTTTAACAATCATAATGAGAACATTGATTTCGTAGTTGATCCTGTCTTGGTCATAGTATCTTCGTGAGCCTACAAAACCATCAAATCAAAGTACATAAATTATAGTGCACTCATTTGCAAAAGATGCTTTAATATATGTAGTCTTTGTGGGGGCCATCACTAGTATAGTGCATTACAATTACTTCATTGTAACTAGTTAAGACATAAAAGAGAGCTATTACCACCAAAATCACAATTGACTTTTTTTTATTTTTAGGGAAAAATAAACAGAACAAAAAAAAATAAATAAAGATAAATAAACAAACAAACAAACAAATAAAAAAAAAAACAGAATGCAACAACATAATACTAAAGCTATAGTAGCTAAGTTTCATTTTCACCCATCTTTCAAGTCCAGTAATCAAGAATCTCCTTGAGAAGGAAGGGGTGGGGGGTGGGGAGGGGACTTTGGCTTCGCTTTAGTTTCCTCATAGCCATTATCTACCAACTGTAAGGAACAGTTGGCTAACTTAGCAAGGTAATAATAGCTACAACCACTTCAATAATTGTGTTTTTGATCAACTGTATACCTTCACTCCCTAACTGTTTACTTTAAGGCAACATGCAATATCCTTCTTCTCTAATCTTTCTGATCCAAGTTTCTTTTCTGGCCCTTTACCCAAAGTGACTATCTGACCTACATACATGGAAGGAAGAGCACAAATTGCAGACCATCTATGGCTATGGTTTTTCTTACCTGATAACCTATAACTACCTTGAGAGGAAGAGCACAAATTGCAGACCATCTATGGTTTTTCTTACCTGATAACCTATAACTACCTTGGGAGGAAGATTAAGACGCTCCTTAAATTTACGTCTGAAAAAGAAAAGAAACAATGCTTACTGAGATTCCCTTGAGGGAGCTGGAAAGGAAAACAAATCAATATTCAGCTATTCAATAGGTTCACAAACTCTTTAAAGCTTCTCTCACTGGCAGTTAATGACAAAAAAAACAAACAAACAAAGAACACAGCAAGACAACCTTATAACAGTTTATATACATCAAACTGAAGAAAGGAACTACAAAAAAAATAAAACATAACAAGCCAAAAAACTCAGCATCTCAGCATTAGCGATCCTTTTTTTGCAGTTACAATTGACTTTTAAAGGTTCCCATGGCAAAAGGAACAATTTTGGGTAGACTACATGTCTTTGGGTAGTTGAAAAGGTGTAATAACTTATATACATTGTGTAATATTGCTCTATCACTCCTAAACATTCTATTAAATCAGACTGTAGTTACATGCAGCTAGCAGACAAAAGAAGTTAAAAGAGTAGTAGAGTGGTCTGTCAAAGACACATTTTTTTTTCATTACTTCAATAAGAGATAAAATATATAAATTCTGAAAATAAAAAGGGAATTGCTGAGACAGACAGAAGCATAAAGTCAATACACCTACCCTATACTTAAGTTGGCATCTTGATCTAATGCATTGCCAGTCCATATGGCCAGTTTATCTCCCTTTTGACGAATTTGAACTACAGCTCCACACACATTCTCAGAGTATTCACCAAAAGACTCTCCAATGAGGAGCATCAACTGTGTGACAAAAAAAAAAAAAGAAAACAAGGAATTCAACCATAATGTTGTCAAGTACAAGTAGTTAATAGACATGTACCGGTTAGAATCTTGACAATCAGCCAAACTAGATAATCTTCTATCCTCAACACCCAGTTATAAGGAAAAAATGAAACCTAGCCAATGTCTTAGCCTAGTGGCTTTAGGCACCTTTTAGATTTGCTTGATATTTTAGAACAAGTCTACCTTGAGGAAAGTGAGTTTCTACTCTTCCAATAGTTTAGTTGGATATGCCACTGCTATAGTGTGGAGGTTGTTAAATTTCCACCCTAATCCAGTCTTCCTTGCATCCATATTGTTAACTACTTGAAAGCTGTGCCTTATGCATAATATAATAATGTATACTTGAAATCTGTTTCACATGGCACAAAAAAAATCCATAGATAGCTCCTTGAAAAGGAAAAATAAAACTAAAGAAAAAAACATCACTTAAACACAAATATTTCCTATTTCATTCAATCCTTACTGTTTCAAGCCATAATCTGTCCAGTTCATGCTGCCTAAAATTTTTCTGTGTGTTTATAAGCCACCGTCCCCCTTGTTTGTTTCTCTCGTCTTCCCACATAGGCTCAATTCCTTCCTGAGGGGTGAGGCAGAAAAAGGCAGAGAAATAAGTTAACCCTTTAGTATAAAGTAGATCTGCAGAAATTCAGATCCTTAAAAGAGGAGTGTGAATATAAACACCTTGTATGGTATCATTTTACATCTGTCTTTATGACATTCTTATGCATTTGACAGGGATTAAACTTTTATTACTATAATTTATTTAATTGGCTATAAGCTGATCCACGCTATAGGCCAAGACTCCAAACTTCCAACTTGTAAAATCAACTTCACCAATGCAAATCATAGAAGAAAACCACTTGGCTATAAATTGGGACCTTTTATTGTTCTGTTTCAAGCAATCATTTCATGAAATCACCAAATGCTTATTTGAAAATGAGTAGAACATAAAGCCATTTCAATGTGAGAGCACATTCAGTCATGTAAATTAAACAACTTGGGTAACAAACTGACGTTTCGAGCGTTAGCCCTTTGGCATTCGCTCTGACGAAGGGCTAACACTGGAAATGTCAGCTTTCGATGGCCAAATTAGAATTTCAACTTAGTTGACATTACCAAATGACCTTGTTACCCCCACTGGCACAGCACCATAGTTTCTTTAGAAACTTACTCCCTTTATCTACTTGGGTAATAGTCCCTTTTACAGTTGTGGCCTTGGTTGCCAAGCCTTTTAATGGGAGTGAGGCTAGGGGTGACCTTGTTATGATACAAACCTTGTTGCCTTTCAAATGTAAATCACTTTGTTATCGTGCTAACTAGATACAGGTCTCTATCATGACAAGGTCGACTACAGCCTCACTCTGAATCAAAGGCTTGGCAACTAAGTACACAACTGTAAAATGGCCTATTGAATGAATAGACAAATAAATGTATGAGGAAGTAGGTAGACAAACAATAGCATAAAGATATTCATGAACAAATCAATAACCAAATATGTAAGATACAGTTGGCAAACTAGGGGAATAGACATATGATATAACCAAATCATGTACCTTAAACAATGAATAATCACATCCAGACTGCAATTTGCTTGCAGCTTGTATATGGTTGTAAACCCTTGTAATAAAAAAAACAGGCAAATTTTTAAAAAGCAAGAGACAATTCTAGATAAGAAATGCAACAATTTAAAGTATAGCTGACAATTGTATCATATCTATGGGGTAACGCATGTGCTTGGATTGGTCAATTTTTGTGGGCTTTATTTCACTGCACAGCCCAAAAGATTATTAAAACTGACACCTTCCCTATCTACTTGAACCCACAGATATAATCAGTATATTATTAACAGGGCTTGACACTAACAGTAGCCCACTAGCCCACTAGCCCAGACTAGTAGAGATTCAGTTTTGGCTAGAGGTTTTTGATTTCCACTAGCCAGTTTGGCTACTGAACAAACTGAAATTGTCATAACATCCAAGACCTCACTATAGCCACTTGGCTAGTAAATTGAAAAGTTAGTGTTGAGCCCTGATTGACCGTGTTTTCTTGGTCCATCACGTAAGTTATGGAACAAAGTTTTGCTCCTCTCGAATTTATGGTCTGCTCACCCATAAATCTGAGCGGAAAAAAACTTGGTCTCTAACTTACATTACAAACCTCACACTTGGTTTGTAAGAGGTATCTATTGTGATTCAATAATTTTTTCTTCTTTTTAACAAATGAGAGCACTTTCTAAAACTTCAAATAACTGCCAACCAATAATAGTCCACTCGTGCAAAATAAGTCTGTGTTTTGCTGCAATTTATTTTTTGCTAAAGCATATTTGTGTCCACACTGGTCTATTGAAAATGGTTCCAAAAGCTAACCTAAACCTGTTTGTGAGCAGTTATTGAAAAAAATGATTGTAAAAAGAAACCAGTAACTGCTGAAGCCCAATCTTCATTGATGAATGAAACCATTATGCACACAACATATTAATAACCTGTGTCTTGTATGTACCATTAAACAGAACATATGAGAAGCTACTAGCCTTTCTTTCACAAACAATTTCAGAAAGGTGAATATCAAGTTTTCCATGTCTTTGACAAACATGTAGACTTACAATAGTAAAGTGAACAAAATAAACACCATCTTACCCCCAAAAATCTTCCACCTTTTTGATAAAAGGTAAAGGAATGAGTCAAGGGAAACAGTTTATAAAACAAGTTGACAATATTTTCCACAAATGAATACACAATACACAAAAGAGCAATGGTTAATTGAAAAATATACAAAGCGCTTGTACAAACATGAAAGGACAACTGGTGGCTTTAGCTACTTTGCTTTTTAACACATTGTACTGTTTGTATAACAGTGTACATTAGTGACATGAAATATCCAGGGATATGTGGTCCTTGGAACTGTCCCAGGAAGTGATCAACTTCTCTGGAGCAAAGTTCTTGGAAAAAGTGTGTCCCAAGACACAAATATTGTCATGGGGAAAAATAAAATTCATTATTTTTTGCACTGATGCTATCTTGTTGCAGTTTGCCAAATGCAGTGCACAAGAAAAATCCCCTAAAAGGCAGCTTCCAAAAAGTTCACAACAGTGTAGAAGAGCTGATCTTATAAAGAATTCTCTGTAAGGCTTGGTGTCACAAGTTAATCAATGGTAAATCTTTCTAAAAAAGTGAAAAGCTCTCTCATATGAACTGAACTTATACTTGACACAATCGTTTTAACAGACACAACTTTTCAAAATTGGAGAATATCACTAGAATATTCTAGTGCAAGCTGAATATATATATACCGTATATATATATATATATATATATAGCTCTCGCTTGGCTTTGCCTTTTGGCTACCTTGCGATTGAGCACTCTACACTGGGGTTGCCATGCACTTAGCCTTCGGGCGAAGCTCATCACCTTAGTTGTGATTTGAGCACTCTCGCATGGCAACATGTCTGCACTTGGTCCCACAAGTGTAGCGCCCAGGCAATGGTTTATTCCAGAGCTTGGCCCAGTGTCTGCACTGCACTGATGAGACCCACATAGGTCGAAACAGTGTGCACTGTCTTTATGCAGTTAAATATATATATATTTAGGATATATATTTAGGGATTACTATGATTTAATTTTTGAGGAAATATATGAGAAAAAAGCTTTGACTTTCAGTTGAAATAAGGGACAGTTGTATGCCATAACAAATCAAGTACTTATCATAATGGCAACACAGTATCAAAGGATACAGTATCAAAAGATGTTACTTGGCGAAGATTTGCTTTCCAGGATTTTGTCTTATCATTTTTGAAAAACCACAGAGCCCATTTATTTTGCAATGGATGCTTCACATACTCAGGCAGTGGAACTGAAGCACCATCTTCTGTTGACTGTCCATCTTTAGCTTTCTCCTGCTCAAAATAAAAAAAAAAGAGAATCCTTAAAAGTAAGCAAAATTGCTCACTCAGTATTTCCCTTGATGATCTTTGAGTTGGGTATAAGGACCTACAATGTGGGCTTTGCTACACAACAAACTGTGTTTTCCTTAAAGAATTAAATCCAGGCACCTTTTTCCTGACTCCTGGTATGACTCAAATGAAGAAATTTAGGAATCCCATGCCTTTAATAAAAACAGCACCAACTGAATATCAAGATACCTCCATGCAATAGGGTTATGATCCTGTTAAATGCACAATTAACACAATTGCAACTTTCCTTTGAACGAGAATCAATTACCACTGCAAAAACCTACATCAAAGGTAACAATCCTACCGGCTTATCATTGACCAGGTGAGAATGACAAGTTAAAAAGAAAAAATTCTGAGTGCTCCCTTAAGATATAACAAGCCTTTTACAAGAAAAAAATGAGAGTTTTTCTTGATGTCACTGAGTAAGTTTCAGTAAATCACACATTCTAATTGACTGACAAACATGTTCCCCTCCTCTCCCCCCCCCTCAGTTTCTTTTTCCTTTTTCTAGTTTGCAAGGCTTGTTGAGATATTCCAGCCATTCAAGTAATGACTGAGAATATCAATGCAATAGTTGAACAATTAGCAAAGACAAACTGATTTTGAGTAGATGACACCCTTACTTTTCAATCACTCTTTTATTTTAAGTTTGACTTTTGTACAATCTGCTTGTCACTTGCATTATCCCCTACGCCACCGTAGTAGTTTATTGACTTAATATACATACACGTAAGCTGGCAGTTAACGGATAAGATACAAATTAGATTCTGTTTTAACTCATGGCCCAGACTCTTTCCTAAGCAAAACAGTTCGGTTGGATAGTGATTTCGAAAACAAGAATCCATAGATGACCAAACTCTCTCAAATAACAACGAGAACGTTAGATAACCTCCAGTTATGTAACGTACGCGAACTGTATATGGGTTTCAATGGTGTTTGACCCGATATATCACGATTATAATTACTTTCTCTCAACAAAGCCAGCTGCAATTTTGTCTAAAATATCTTTATCTGGTAGTTCAAACAACAAAAAAAACTCAAACTGAACGAAAAATGAACCTCACGAATTAGGCTTATCAATAGATCTTGCTTAGTTGGGTGAGACGTATTTAGCTCCTTCCTAGTCAGGGCAAAATATCGAGAAAACAGTCGAAATCTCATCTGAAGTTGGGAAATATAATTAGCTATCCCAAAAATATATTCAAAATTTTAATTTACCAAATATATAACGTCCATTTACAGTCGCAAGTAAAAGAAATATAGTTTCATAAATTGACCTGTTTGCGGGAAATGAAGTCGTAGTTTAGTAACTTTTCATGACGGATAAATCATAGATTTCGCGGAATAAAACCCCTCTTCATTTACCACAATAAATTAGATGGACTCTTCGAATTCTTACCTCTTCTTTACTTTGTTCCTTTGGATCTTTCGCCGGTATCTCGTCACCAGAAGCCATACTAACTTTCTCAAAGTGGCTGAAATTTACTGCTATATTCCTCTTACCGGCGTCACGTGGGAAAGTTGCACATGCGTACTTTTACCATTCATACCCAGTCCTTCATGAAAAACGCACAGAATTCTTGATTTTAAGTAAATATCCTACCTTGAATATCTGATTTCTTGAGGCAAAACTTTTTCCTTTCCAGCTCTCCTCTTGCAACCTTTTCGAAAATTGCGTGAACTTAGTCCCGACTCCAGGATGTGTTTTTCATCGTCTCTGATCTCCGCTTTCACATACATTTTATGAATAGATGGTAAGCGAGTGAAAAATAGAAAGAATAAGTGAATAAAAGAGTGAATATCGAATAAATGAATGAATTGATGAAAGATTGAGTGAAAGAATAAAGACGATTTCGTGAGCATTTTAGCAAACTAAACCAAGTTTAAAAATAATGTTATGATTTTATTATAAAACTCCCCTCAGAAGTCTGTTAGTCTAAAGGAAAACTTGTAAGATTTTTTTTTAAATTGACCTCTTCTCGCAACCACATATTTGCAGTGCAGTTCGTTCAGGTTTTACCCTAAGTTAAAAAAAAGTGTTTCAACTGTGTGATAAACAGCGACGGCTAAGTGAGCTGTTGATGTGAAATGACCTGTGATTTTTTGGCTAGATTAATCGTATAATCGTTTGGAGACTGGTAGCGATTGAGGGAAGACTGCTGTTAAAAGGAAATGTAAGTTACATTGCTGTCCGATATATTGGACGCTGGGCTTCATAAGGTTAAACAAAACCCTTCTTAGATATATGGCCAACGTTTAACGACACCGAAAGAGTCTCCAGAGGGATTTGTCCTGTAGCTGTAAATCTGATGAAAACGACCCACACACAAAATTAATATTATGTATGAATGTCCAAGCCTATTGCTGGTCAGTAAAGCATGCCTTGGCTTGGTTGGTTCATTTTTGTCGGCTTTATTGACGAGTGACGGGAAAAGTTTTTCATTTTTTGACGGTTGATGAGTCATATCTTGGAAATTTGATGGTTGATGGTTCACCTCGTTGAGACCTTGGAACCAGAAATCTAGACATAGCGTTAGTTGTTATCGTATGAGCGCGCGCATGAAAATCGACCCCTTTGATGACGCATTTAATTGAAAAGCTTTCCTCGAAAGAGAAAAAATAATTGCACAATGCAAATCAAAATTCATAGTGTACTTCAGTTTCTTCTTATTCCTTTGATTGCTTCTTCTACCAGCGTCACGGTTTGCGATAAAAATCCAGGCCTCATACAGTGTGTAGCTCTGAGAAACCAATTCATTTTGCCGCTCAAGAACAGCTGCAATCCATTGAAGAAAAACTGCGACACAGGAGACTTGATCGATCCAAGAGTCGCCACTTGTAATTTAGAATTCAGTGGGAACGTGTTTCATTCTTTGTTGAATAGATTTCAAATGAGTTATGGATACAAATGCTTTCCCGTTGTTCCGGATCCCAACATGTTTCACAGGCGGAATGTCGGGCCGAGTCAAGGAGAGCCCCGCTGTGTACCCACTAGACTAAGTCTACAGGGTAGCTTTCTTTGCGGAGAACACGGAACTCGATGTGTGTGCGATGCTCCCGCGGAAAGCAACGCATATGGAACACAATGGTTGAGGAACAGGTGTAGGTGTGTGACTGGCTAAAGAGCAGGGGCACGCTGAAATAAGATTTGAAGGGATGGGGTAACTTTTACTTTCACCGTTTGAAGTTCTGCGTTAAGTTTGTGTGGCATACTCCGCGTTCTCTGCTTAATGGGAAAAAATGATGTAGCTTGTTCTAAACGGTCGGTTTATGGGAACGGGTAGAATAAGAGGCGAGGGAGGAGTGGCGAGGAAATTAACACATCCCCTCTCTTAATGATTGCCCACCTGCTCAGGATGCATGACGAACTGCATACAAAATGTGAGTTAGTGGACCTCTGACTATTTTATCAATTATTCACCGAAGGTGAGGTGAATATCGTCGAATAATCCCCGAGACGAAGTCGGGGGGATTATTCGACAATATTCACCGAACCTGAGGCGAATAATTGTTTTAGTATAATTTCAGAGCTGAACAACAGAGAAATTTCTAAAATCATAACATTTTAGTAATATTTATTAACATTTTATTTTAACATTTTATATAAACCGCGTGGAGCGGTTTAGATAGCGTCATATAAGGAACCGCTCGACCAATCAGATCGCTGGAAACTCTTTGCTCAGCTTTGAAATTATACTAAATAAGATTACAGCTATTTTTTTGTATTAACATCTACTTAAATTCCACTATTCCCTAACTTCCACAGGTGTCAGTATTTTGTGAATCTTTGTCGTATTCCAAAAGTCTGCGTGAGTCGTGGGATTTGCAAAATGTGGGGTTCCGAACTGCGCTGTGAATGCCCTGTTGACAAAGAGAATTGCAGGCCCGGAATAAACCAGTGTAAAGCTAATCCGGGACTTTGCTTGGACGAGGGAAAGATTTGCATCGAACTCTATGATATAAACGTAGGATGGATGATTGGAAATGAACAGAAAGGCGATGGCTTTGCCTGCATTTTAGCAGGGACTGTAAAGTCTCTAGCGACCGTCACATATTATTGCGATATCTCCCAAGAAACTTTTAGTAGGACTAGAGGAGTGGAGCCTAAAAACGAGTTAGACTTGTGCTGCTATCGAATGCTGACATGTGCAGGTGGGGAAAGCATTCCGAAGAAAGGAAACATTTTCAGCTACAGACCGTGTTACTGCAATGTGGAATTCCGAAAGTGCCTCCTCGCGGCTGCCTTTGACCCCAAGTTTAAAACAAACGTTGAGCAGATGGTTGAAGTATTGAACAACTTGGCGCACTGCAGCATTGACGACGGTACTCGATGTGATCCAGTGCGTCCTTGGACTTGTCAGAAAGGTGACCTCATCAATCCTAAATTTGCACATTGTACTATTGACTGTAAAACAGGCCCACTGCTGCCAATCTGGGCTCGAGCTTGCGCCCTTAGACAATGCAAGCCACCTCACCATCGCGAAAATCTCAGGATTATAGATGTACCTCGCACAGAAGAAAGCTCAATATGTAAGCCTGTTGAAGACCTACCAATAGTGTGCGGAAATAGAGATACGAACACTCGATGTGTTTGCGACGGTAGGCCGAAGAGATCAGATTTCACCGACAGATGCCGATGCCAGTATTGGCCAGACCGATGGGAAGAAAGACAGTCTAAAGAAAACGAAAATAATTAACGCTACTTTATTACTGAATCCTGTCGGTTGCACCAATTAAACGTTGTTTGGAAATTTGAGTTTTGTCGGTAAATATTTTTATATACATTTATGAATGTCGTAATTGAGTGAGAAAGCTGGGATGCACCATCAAGCGCACGAGGACTTAACACATGATATTTAGAGCCGTGTGAAATAGCTTTCGAGAGAAAAACTTTAAATGAAAGAAAAAGATTACTTCATATTCCCAAAAATACGTTGCATATGACAATAGTACAAATTATCTGCGCAAATTAAAATAGAGACAGTTCGCTGATCCTGTTCCAATAGTCTCTACCTGGAGTTATTGCGTTGTTGATACCCGCACTTTTCTTACTTATCCTGCCGTAATGTAAAGGTATACATGGTTAAAAGATTGGCTTTTGAATAAAGTTATATTTAAGACTATGATTGTTCCGAAGTTGGGGAGCGGTTTTCTCTTACGGAGAAATTATTATCATTAGTCGAGATCCTGAATTATGCAATATTCTAAGAGAGTCCAAAATCCGAGGATTCTCCTGATTCTAGGAAACTAGCAGCTTCTAAGGACTACTGCATTAACCTTAAGCAACAGAAAAGTCCTCGTGACGTAACGCTATTCAAAGGAATTAAATCGTTTTGGACTTAAAAATCATCCTATACACTCTCCACGCCCGACTGATGTCTTTACTGAAAGGACAGGATCTCTCGTTGAAGATCGAGATACTACAAGCCTAGATGAGCAAAGCTTTATTCCATCTAGACTTCAAATAACTACAAGATCAGACAGCCTCATGCAACTTGCGTTTGTTTTCCAAACAGACAACATATCTTTTAACACATTTATAACACGATCACCGAACTAGTAACTGAGGGTAGACGTCATTGTTCACGGGTACAGCTGTCGCGAGTGATACAACTCTGGCACGTCCGGGGGCGCGGTGGCCATCATTTCCAGGCCCTTCTCCATGGTCAACATAGCGATACCTCACTGCTAAATACAGGAAAACCACCAAGTCGATTAACATAAGCCCAGCTAATAGGAACATGTAGTTTTCAAGTGTGCCTTTATTGAGGTTATCAGGATACCAAGTGGCGTGTGAAGCATATTTGACGATTGACACCAGCAAGCTCGCCACGTAGTAACCCACGCCAACCATTGCCCAACACACACCCATTACTAAGCCACGCAATTCTGGTGGAGATTGAGCATAGGCAAACTCGAGACCTGCAAAATGTGATTTGGAAAAGTGAGAAGCTTTGGAGTAAGCTGTCCCCTATAACATCTCTCTGTAGGGAAGAAAAATATTTAAACTTTTGTACACAGGATAAGCTTGCCTAAAAAGTAAAAGCATTCAGGGACCCTACATGGACTCACACGTCCGGCAACCTAGCTGCTTTAGCGGGGTTACTAATAAGTGATCAAAGCTAGAGGTCTAACCGAAAGCTTTTACTTTTTAGGTAAGCTTATCTGATGTACAACAGTTTAAATATTTCTATTCTGATTCTTCCCCGATAGATGAAATTTTGAGATTCTGTCTCAGTAGGCGTTTAAAAAGTTGATTGATGAGAACGAGTATAAAGTGAATTGTACGAAGTAAGAATTACTGAGTTTGTAGAAATCGTAATGGACTCTTTGAACTAGTCGCTCTAAACAGCGACATCATGTAACCAGTCGACCTCAAAGGTCTGAGGATGACTAGAGACATGATGACTAGCAGTATGCAGAGTAGAAAAGATCCACATTGAGAGAGAAACGAAAGTATTTAAAGAGTCTATACGGCCAACAGGGTTTTTATTGTTTTGGTATCTCTTTATCCTGTGAAAGAGTATTCTCAAAAAGAAATTTGATTCTGACGCCTCTTCACCCTAAAATCGAGCTTTAAAGTTCCCGCTTCGGCCACGCCTAATGAAGTTGACCATGTAAGGGAAGATTGGTGATGAGTGACGTCACTCCAGGAGCGTCTTGAGCGTCGCGTTGTTACTCAGTGCTTGACAAACGCAGTACTTTTACAACACATCTATCAGCCATATTTATGTCGCCGAAAACTCTTTACTTTACTGAAAAAAAAACAAAAAAAACAGTGAAATGAACCACTAGCGGGATTTGGCGCGTTCCTGACTTGACGTCACGACCCATTCAGAACCCAATCTCTTTTTTGCCCCGACTCACGGCCACCTTCAATGGGCGTGGCCAAAGTGGGAAGTTTAAAGCTCGATTTTAGGGCGAAGACCCGTCAGAACCCAATTTTTATTTAAGAATACTTTCTTACATGTTAAATACATACCAAAACTATAAAAACCCTGTTGGCCGTATAGACACGCGCAATGTCATTTTTAGGTGAAAACGAACTTCCGGTGGCGTCCTAGACAGGTGACGTCCTCAAATCTTAAGGTCTATAATTACATCTCTAATGGCTAGGGATGATCGGATGGCTCATAGATGCTAGTCATGAACCCACCAAAGCGAGAAAGGGGTTTTTGTAGTAACTTTTAAACAATGAGATGTTTGAAAAGCAAGCGCTACTCAATTGTTGTTGTTTCTTTTCTTTTACAATAACTGTAGAAATCCTCGCGTTTTCAGTGGACGAGGACTATCTACAGATGGTAAAATTGACGTATCATGTGACGCAACGCTCGGAAATCTCCGCTAGTCGTAGAAAGAACTTATCCCGTAAAAAAGTTGCAAATTTCTAAGATATGGATGGTAACAAACTTCCGACTTTTAAGAACAGTATACTTGGAGAAATGTTTGAAGAAGAACTGTTAGAACATAACCAAAGCAAAGCGCACACTCTGATTGGTCAATTAAGTGCCTACCATATGCCCATGGGTGTACGCTGCTGACGTGGGCAAATGGAAAAGACTAGTTTCCGCGGACTTTTTTTCTTCTGGTCACCTAAGATTTCGGTGCTAAATAAAAAAAGAAATTATTTTGCTACAGTGTATGTAGGCTTTTGCTACAGTGTATGTAAGGCTTGTTTATTTGTTTTTGATTGCCTAAAAGGCGATGTTTGTAGTCCTTCAAAGAATATTTTAAATTGTTAACCCACGATTTTAATACGAGGAACAGAGGGACCACCGTTGCTCTGCCGAAAGTGAGACTTGACTTTGCTCGGGAAAATTTTTTATTTTTTAGGAGCATCAGCTTTTAATTTTTTACTTTAAAAATCAAGCAAATTAGCAGTAGGGTACCATTTACGGAGTCGTTAGATCAATTTTTTGCATAGGGCATTTAATTAGGTGCGTTGTCATTCTTATCTTATTCTAGTTTTTATCCTTATGTTATGTTATTTAGACAAGACCCCATTGATAACAGTGCTCCTGCACTGAAGGGCTGTCCTGTATAAATATTCGTTATTATTATTATTATTATTATTATTATTATTATTATTATTATCACTGTTGTGTTATAAAACAAATAGTAAACACCACAGCCTACACCATTGAGTTAAGGGTGCGCTTTAGAGGTTTGCTAAGCACGAAAAAAAGCTAGAGACTCGCGACTCTTACGCTTCTTTCGTGCTAAACAACCTCCGACGTGCATCCATTACGCAATAGCGTACATTCATAGCGTAGGCTGTGGTGTTTACCATTTGTTAAATCGAGATGGAAGAAAAAGCAGAGGAAAATCTTTTGAAATATAAATCCGGTTCCCGATTTGCAGAGTTGAAAGGTGAACAACCTCGTAGAAATACTTGCGATGCCGAAGCAAACGGCACAAAAATTACAAATAAGTGGGCAATAAAAAACAACTCAGGGTAAGAGAGTCCAATGCAAACCATTCCTTACTGGTATTTCATTGCAGAAGTCAGTACATAACACAAATTAAAACAAACTACAAAGCGCTAATCGATCATGTCATGCGTGCGTAATTTTTCCAAAAAATTGGGCGCATTCAGCTCGCACAGAAATTTCAATGCTATTGTAAAAACTTTGCAGTGAAACCACGTGGTTACGCCAGCGCATCACTGCAAAGTTTTGAATATTTTTTACGCCATTTCTATGATCAATAAGGCTTAAGACAATGGAAAATTGTGCTCAATTTGTTGACTTACGCACCTGATACAGGCACCAAAGCTTCACTTGTTCCTTGGAGGATATACTGGGGCACTTGATAAAACACACTCATTGACGATGCGTTCTTTTTAACACCAAAAACATCTTGCGAGAATCTTCCGAAGCGACGTTTTCGCTCGATTTCGATCAATCCTGCTAAGGCCACAGACCCAGCAGCAAAAAGCATCCCCACGCCGATTCTACGAAGTGGAGTGAAGTTGAAGCCAACGCGTCGGAGGCCCGGGTAGACAACTCGATCAATAATGGGAATCAAAACTAACACACACAAAATTTCAAATATGGAAAGTGAAGCCGCGGGAAATGGGAACGTATTAATGACTTTCAAATTCATGTAAGAGCCTTGCAATAAAAATGCTGTAGTACCCTACGAAAAAAATGGAAAAAAAATCCAAGTGAACAAAATCGAATTGGCAATTTCAGATTATCGATAGAAACGCAGCAAAGTGTGAAGTAAAGTGAAGTGAAAGATCTACCCATTTCTCAAGGGGGACGTGAAATTAAATTTAATTGGAGCCTTAATTTTTCACAGGCTCCTTTAATTTTTACTACCTTGACGCGAATATAACGCCAGGTCTGGGAAACAGTAGAAACTTGGTGAACCACAGAGGTGGGAAGTATGCGCTTTATTACAGCATCATACCTGCCCCCCTTCCCCTACCCCCTCAGTAATAAAAGAGACAGAAAGAATGTCCTAATCTGGTTATATTTCCAAATTGGTTGCTAATTTCGTCGTTGTTAAATACAATTATCCTTGAAGCCTTTGAGTCTTACGATAGCACTAAATAAGATTTTTATTTAAAAGGCCTGTGGTTTACATGACCGTTCCTACCTGACTGTATATCGTCCAATAGAAGATACACGTGAAGATTATTGGACTAAAACGAACCATGGACTTGACAGCTTCTACCTTTTCCCCAGAGAAGGCACCGCCCATAGTGGTCTTAGCTCCGTCGAGCCAGTGAGTCCAAAGTGGATCTTTTATGCGGCAGAGTTTGTTTTTGATACCAAGCGCAAAAATTCGTCGTGCGTCGGCCAAGGCACTGCTTCTAGGGGGATGCAGTATGTAATGGTTTCTTCCCATCAGCACCATAATAGTTCCACACGCTACTGAAGCCACAGTTATTAGGGAACCATAGAAATAGGACTTGTTTTGTTGGATGTATACCACAGCTGTGAAGGCCAGCAACGAACCAACTTGTATGAACCAGTAATACCAAACAAAGAATTTCTCCACCACTTTTTGTCCTTTGCCTTTCACTTGGTCTGCTCCCATTAATGACAAATTTGCCTTGACTCCTCCCACTGCAATTGCAATTAGGACAAGGGACGCAGCTAGAAATAACACCTGGTATAATCTGCTCAAGACATAACCTCCTGAATGTTTAGAGGTAGTAGTAGCTGTGAATAGAGCGGTGCCGCTAACGTAGGCCAGTAAGCTGCCATATACGGCATTGTAACGCCCAGCTGTTGTGTCCCCCAGCCAACCCCCGATTATAGGAGTAACGAAGCATGTTCCTTTACAGAGAGAAGAGAAAAATGTCTACTCAGTTCTAGGTAAAAGGTAGCCTCTGCTAAATTTGATAAACTGAATTCAGTAAACATCTTGCAAGAAAAAAGACAGAACCTCTCTCTGCAATTATATCAATAGCAGCCCATTTGCGAGGTTCGTTTCCTTACCTGTATCTCATACGAAGGTCGAAAACATGATTTATTTCATGTAATTTTGAAATAACCTCGATTACTGTTATAAATAGATGACTTACTTAGACTTGATAGATTAGGCTGTAAAGATGTAGCAAACTTTCTAACTTATTCAGAATAAATAAAGACTTAAACTAGCCAGGCTTGAGAATTTCTGATAGAAATTTTCAAATCATGACTTTTTCACGAGTCTCAACCAGTGTCACTTACAAAAACACTCATTAAGTTACATCCAAATTCTTTCTATCATTGCTTGTTTTGCCTCTACGGGCTAATAGGAGCGACTAAATTTAGTTTTAAACATGATTCGGTTTTTATGAATTGATTGGTTAACCCTTTAACTCCCAAGATCTGATTGTGAATTCTCCCCTCTAGCTGATACACGTTTCCTTGTAAATTGGTTACAAGAATTTGGTGTTCAATCAAGGTACCAACTTCTTACTGATGAGCTTGTGGATTCTCATTACCTGTTTGCTGGATCGTGTATGGATATTATAGAGAGAAGTTACATGTTGATCACTTCTGGGAGCCAAAGGGTTAACGTCGTCAGTGTCTCCGGTAACAGTATTGGCATTTTAAGGCCATTCTTTCCTTAGCTGTAGGCCACAGTATCTTTTATACCATGTTAGATAAGTTCTAAAATTAACAGTCCTCATACCTTGAAATGCCAAGACGATTGAACTGGATAGTGGCGAGGAAAGATTAAGAATATCAGTACAGTAAAACACCAGATTTGCAGCCACCCCATAATACGACAGACGTTCAAATAAGGTAACGAATAATATACAAACAACTGTAAGAGAAGTGTTGCTGGAGACTAGATCTTCAGATGGTGATTCATTCAATTCTGAAGGGTTTTCTTCATAATCGTCGTAATTTGAACAAAGCTCGTCATTTTCATCTCTGGGAGAATCCATCATTTGGCACTTCTGCAAGTAAATACAATACGCGTGGAGTTAGCTACAGATGTAGGAAGACAATTGTTCTGTTGTTTCTCATCGTCTAAAAGGTGGCTTAAAGCACCTAGCGACCCTTATTCTTTGAAATTCCATGCTTTTAAGGCGTTAGCTGACGGAAAAATACTAGTATCAAAGTAGTGCACTCGTAGCAAATAGACATGTCTAAGGAACACACATATAGCTTGATAGCAATCATTAAAGAAATACTTCGCTGATCGAGTCAGATTTCTTTCTTTAGATTTCTTAAACTGTACATTGATAAAGTTAAACTACTACAAAGAAACTGCTTAGGATCTGTGTAAGCACAAATATAAGCCATTTGGCAGGTTAGGGCTAACACGAGATATTCAGGTTGTTACACATTTACGCATGACCTGTTAGGTATCGGAATGCCTCGTGCGACGAACCATAGAAATCTCTTAAGATAAAAATATTGAGAACTTAATGAGAACTCAAGATTGGCTGGAATAACGAAGAAAGTTAACCTTTAACTCGGTTATGAGATAAAGGAAAAAATATTTTCATCCTGTCACGGGCGTAGAGTCATTTCTAAGACATTTGAAAGTGTTTGTTTACCTAATCCCTTCGACCGTTGGCTCAATATGTTAAAAGAGTGAAGACTGTCACAAAATCTCCTTACAGTTAAAGCTAGCTATTGAAACTGAAGCCTTGGCAAAATTGGCGAAGACCCGAGCCGGCATCACAGCGAGACGGTCTCTTTCACATTTGTCTTCGTATATTGATCGTAGGCTGAATATCAAAAGAAACCTAATATTTAGCCCTTATTCACCATTATCGAAAACTCATGTAGTATGTTTCTCTTTCGCTCGTGACAAGAGCGGCTTCTAAGCAGAACGTACTCTACCCGCTCGAGGAAATTGCATTTATCTTAAGTTTCTTGCAGTTTGCGTTTCAGAAGTCGCAAAGGCTGAAAAGTAGATATGACTGTGGAGTTTATGAACGACTGCAACGAGCAAATTGTATGCGACTCTCTACAAAGGGCGGAAGTTTGGTTCTCCCACAATGGCAAGACTTCAAACTACTCCACCACTGAATAATTCTAAATTACCTTCTAGGGCGACAAACTATCGATGAGACAGTGAAATTAGGGTAAATTCAAGTTGAAGCCACGAAATAAAGTTCCTCGCTGATTGATACTGCAAAATAACTAGACCTCCACATGCCAGACCGCACAAGTACAGGATTAATTCATCGCCACAGAACTCAGACTGACATGAAAACGTCGTCATCTGCTGGCCAATATGATGTAACGCCGCTGAAGAGCGTGACATGCTTTTAGGACGATGTGAAATGAAACCGCTCCCCAAAGACGAATTCAAACGATGTACCTTTAAAGTTCATTGCTTGCAATGAAACCTCAGAAAATCTCAATAGCTAACAAATCAATCGTAAATTAAGACTTTATTGATACCATTCCTGGAGAGCGAACTAACAAAAATAAAGGATGCTTTCTTGTTTTCTCTGTAAACTCGTACTGGCGAGACTTGTTGACAAGCATATATGCACAGCGAGGTCAATCGACAGGAACCCCTTCTGAGTTCTTCAAATAGTATATTGTTTTTTCCTGCTATTCATTAAATTTGACGTTATAGGCCTCCGATCCTTCCAGAAACAAGCTCTTAAAATGGAGCTTTGGGAAGTAAATTATCTAAGGCGTCAATTCAGACATTCAGGAATTGATTAAAGTAGAAACGATACAATATTGAGGGATTTTTGAAAATAACATTTTGAGTATTTTTTAGTTCTGTTTACAAATGACACAAAGGGCGCTAACTCTTTATTCCATAAGGCAATTACAGTTTTTCTTCAGTGAGAGTGTCTGTTTACAGCTTCATTTGCTCTAGAACGATTCTCGTACTCTGAAAGATCGGGAAATCCAAATTTGAATGGATGCAAGATCTGTGTAGCTATGCTCAGACACAATCACACAATGACGACTCACGAGGCTACGATAAAATTGCACCATGTAAACAAGTTAAAAATATCTTGTGATAATGTATCTGGGGTGAGAAAGGAGCTTGACTGTTCAAAAATGAACCAAAACTTGCACTGAATATTAATAATTTTTCCCTAACGCGTATCGAGATCGTTTTGGGAAATATCCGAAAAACTCGAAGAGTTGACACTTTTGTAGCTTCTTTTTCTCTTAACGTGCTTATAATCTTCAGGGCTGTCTGGATCATCGGCGACATAGTGATACCTTAATGCTAAATACAAGAACACAGCCAAGTTAACAAGCATAAGCCCGGCCAGAAGGAACAAGTAGCATTCGAGTGTGCCTTTATTGAGGTCATCAGGATACCACTTGCTATGTGAAGCGTGCTTGACAATTGACGCCAGCAGGCTTGCTACGTAGTAACCCAAGCCAATCATAGCCAAGCACAAACCCATTACCACGCCACGCAACTCGGGTGGAGACTGGGAATAGGCAAATTCAAGACCTGGAAAGAAAGAGATTCATAAGTTTGGGGTCTATCCACCATACGTTATAATTTTCACCTTTTCACCTCATGAGGCACCATCACCAAGCACAAAACTACCTTAAACGTAGTAATTTGGTTTTATCAAGTTATTGAGCTGGTGATGTAAATAATTTGCCACTGTTAAACTGACGGTTCGAGCGTTAGCTCTTCGTCAGAGTGAATAACGAAGGGCTAACGCTCCAAATATCAGCCAAGAAACCCTTAACGGTGGCAAATTTACATCACCGACTCGTTTATCCTAAATATAAATGCGCCTTGGAATTATGATCTGCCCAACGACGGAGATATCAAACCAGAAAAGGATGGTAATGAGTAAGGGTCTATAGGTTAAGCATTTTGAAAATAATCTTTGGAAATCAAGCTAAAGCAACAACATCTATTTAATAGGCACGATTTACGAGACAACGGCTTGTCTAAATATGGAGTGGCATAGCGGTACTCTAAATGCATATGGAAGCTCAACTTTGACAGGTGTTATGGGTTAGAAACCATTGTGATGTACACTTGAAAGACCCTATGTGGTAAAAGCCCTTTCATTTTGTGCGCCATCGTTACAATTACAGGCACTTACTCGCCAAATTACCTGGAAGGAAAGTGGTAGGATTATAAATTTCCCAATATTTTCGTCCTCCCAACAGCAGCATTGCTATTTACCTGTTACAGACACCAGAGCTTCACTTACTCCTTGGAGTATATATTGTGGCACTTGATAAAACACGCTCATAGTCGATGCATCAATGGTTGTATTGAAAACATTCTGTTTGACCCTTCCATAACGTTTTCGCACAATTTCGATGATTCCTGCCAAGGCCACAGAACCAGCAGCAAAAATCAATCCAACGCCAATTCTGCGCAGAGGAGTGAAGTTGAAGCCAAGACGTCGGAGGCCTGGGTAGACAACTCGATCAATAAGGGGAATCAAAAGTAATAAAGACGCATTTTCGAATACACTTAGTGACGCCGCGGGAAATGTGAACTTATCGGTGATTTCCAACTTCATATAAGAGCCTTGCAATAGATACGTGGTGAGACCCTGAGAGAAATGGAAAAATAAGCACAAAATTGAAATGAGGGGTGTTTTGGAAACATTGATAACAACAGAATAATTGAAGAGCTGAAAGAAGAAAAAATGAATCTGAAAAATAAAAAACAAACCCAACAACTGGAAAACAAACAAACAAAATAAAACAGCATTTCCTGTTGTGAAGGTACGTTCCATGAAACTGGAGCTATGTGATCTGTGGGTTTTCCTCGGCAGATTACGAGGAAAAAAAACATGCATTGGCAAAACGATAACAAAACAACAACTACAACAACCATATCGGCTCTTTCCATCATGTTTAAAGACACTAAACAATGCAACCTTTATGTTTTCTTGAATCGAACACAACCATAAAAAATATTCAAAGAGCTCGTAAGCTCAAATTTCCAAGATAGGAACTTTTTATCGTTACTATAGTCTATAAATTTCACTTTGAAGTACATTTAAGAACTGAATAATAGTTTATTATGGATGGTGCATCTGTCTGTGTACCACGCTAACATAAATGGGAAAAGTTCTATCTCGTTCGGGATTTTGTCACATTGTAAATGGTCCATCGACTGGCGCCTGAGGTGAAGCGACGTTTACGGGTTAGATCGGTACGCTTATGGTCCTCACGTTTCATGTAGGATGCCACTTGTGGCTTCAACAGTCCAGGATCTATATTAAGATTGGTATTTGTTTGCTCACCTGCCCAAAGATTGTCCAGTAGAAGATAAATGTTAAGAATATTGGGACCAGGCGAACCAACGACTTAACAGCTTCTACCACTTCCTCTGAAAAATGTCCTCCCATATCATCTTTAGCTCCATCGAGCCAGTGACTTTGAATATGATAACTCTTGCAGCGGAGTTTGTTTTTGATACCAACACCAATAATTCGTAGGGTGTCAGTCAGGAAGCTTCCTTTTGGTGAATGAACTATGTAGTGGTTTCTTCCAAACAACAGCAGCAAGGTTGCTAAAATCATAGACAAGGCAGTTAGCAAGTAGCCGTAGAAAAAAGACACTTGCTGTTGGACATACACAACTGCCGTGAAAGCGATCAGAGACCCAACCTGTATAAACCAGTAAAACCAGTCAAAAAATTTCTGGACCATTTCTTGTCCTTCGTCTTTGACTTGATCTGCTCCTAGCGGGGACACATTGGCCTTAATTCCTCCAGTTGCTATGGCAATTAGGATAAGCGAGACAGCTAGGAATGCCCCCTTAACTGGAATGCTCAAAGCGTAGGCTGTTGGGTAGTTATAAGTGGTAGCTGTAAGAAGAGCGGTGCCGACTATGTAGAGTAACGAACTTCCATATATAACGTTGTATCTCCCAGTTACGGTGTCAGCCAGCCAACCGCCTATAACAGGAGTGAAGAAGCATGTCCCTGACGGGAAGTAAATAACATAAGAGACATAAGAATTATGTCTCTCTCAAAAGTGATTAGGGAAAAATAACACCATATCCTATATCCTCTTATATCCTATCTACCTCTCTTTGCCGTCAACTTCTTTAAGAGCACGCAAGTTATATTAGAAGGAAATCGAGGATACGTAGTAAGGTTTTCGTAGGGCTTATAAAGAGGGGCAGGTTTTCGAGCGAGTGACGTTCATCCTTGTTTTGATTAGTTTCCTTTCTCCTATTAGGCTTTGCGTTTACTCGGGCTTTCTTTTTTCACACTCAATTGAAAAGCACTTTAATGGCCGTAGATTCTGAGAAGACATCTTACCTTGAAATGCTAACGCAACTGTGCTTGGTAATGGTGAAGAAAGCTTGAGAACATCTCTACAGTAAAACACCAGATTTGCTGTTAAACCGTAAAATGTCAGACGTTCACAAAGTTCCACAAATAAGATACATAGGACAACAAGAGTGGTTTTCTTTGAAGATGTGCCTTCTCTTTGTATGCCCACTGTCTCATCGTACATTGGCGGCAGACCACCGTCGCTCAGGCGAGACGCCATTATCTGCGGTACAGGACAACAACAACAAAGGAAGGTGAAGAAACGATTCAAATATAGTTGAGACATTTACAAGAGAGTTCAGGCTACTAATACTTTACCTTTGGGAGTGACCCAAAAGTGACTATTCCATGATGAAATGCACCCTTTCGAAAAAAAATGATGATTGCTATGTCACCCAGTAAGGGGGTTCTGCTTCGTTTATGTAGAATCATTCAATCTTTGAGATACCATATTCGCGTCACTTAGTCACCTCTCAGATACATTTTAAGTCGATCAGACATCTAATTTTCAAATGATGGTCAATTTAGCCTAATGGTTCGATAGTCAATTTACTTATAATTATTTTACTATTAATTCATTGGTAATCACAAATAGAAATCCTGTGGTCCTTTAAGAGGATCTAGCATATGATACATTTGGAAAACTAAAAGGCCCAGAATGAAGGAAGTTTTTTCGCAATCACAATTGTCGAAAATATATGTTAAAAAGGCTATACATCAAAGTAGTTCGTCGATAAAAGTACATCGTACAGGTTCGTAGATAAAAGTACAGGTTACATCATGTGGAACCTTTGCTGGTCGCAACAACTCCATGATTACGGTCCTTAACACACGTACTTTCAAAGTTCTTTAAGCTGAATGATAGATATTTTCGTAAAAAGGTAGCATTACGTCCTGTTTTGTGACAACAAGATTATATTAGGTCACATTGTTGGCTGTGTCACACTTAAGCTAATGCAGGAACAGGAATACTTGCTTTCTTCAAGCTCGTGATTCTTAAAGTCATGCCAAACCATGCATATGTGGTAAGCAAAATCACAAAGCAAAAACAAGAAACCTTTTCGCATGTATTAACTGGATTTTCTATTCTATTGTATTGCCAGAAGGCCGATGTCGTGACACGCTATAGCGAACTACGCAATCGCCTCAATCGAGCGGATAATAATCGCAATTATCTCAACTGATAAACATATAAAATGTTACGGTGAATATTTGAAGTTCATATATTTTGAACTGCGGTTATAGATACGAATGATGCACGATCCTCGCAGTAGAGAACTTCATATATTCACCGTATCTGATTTATCATCACGGGTTTATTACGAATCAACTTAACGGCCTGCTCCCAGTTGGCTTGTTAGCTCAATTTGTAGAGCGCTGCACTATTATCGCAGAGGTCAGTGGTTCGAATCCCGTACAGGCCTGATTTTTTTCAGGTCTGATTTTCGCTATTGCATAAATAGCGCTCTCTACTGCGAGGATCGTGCATCATTCATATAGAATGTTGTAAGAGTTGGTATGTCTTAGCGCTTCTCTTTAAATGCGCCTTTTTTAACATTTTGTTCTAGTAAACTAGACGCATATCTGCGTGACCTCGGGCTTTCAACATCGCACATCTGGAGTTATCTGTTTAGGGGACTGCCATATTGCCATTGTTACTGTCGTCACGCAATTTCATCATTGTCGGTAACGAATAAGTCTACTTGTGTTTATTTTTGTATGCTGGAGTGTAATTAATGTTGTTATGGTACTAGACAACAATCAAAATAATATATCAACATATAGGAGTAGGTTCCTGCAGATGCCAAAGGTTGAAATTCAATGACTTTTCAATGATTTTGAAGGCCAACTTTTAGAAAATTGAAGAACAACTTTTGGCAAGGTTTGCATAAGCGATTTTAGAATTATTTAATAATATTTCTCAGCTTTTCCATGAAAGTACTGTAATTTTCAAATTGAAAATTGCTAAAGAAAAAACATTGAAAAAACCAAGCCTTAGTCGTCAAATTCGTGAAGTACCTCAAGTCCTTGAGTTTTTAATTTGTAAGTTCAAGCATCTTCGAGGACTTTCATGGGTTTTACGAACCCTGAGTAGGTAATGTATTTGCCTTTAACTGCAAGGAGAAGGGAATTTTTTTTATCTATTATTGGTACCAAGTCATAGTTTGTTGCTAAATGTTCACCCAGGTAGAGTTGTCAGAAATCAGTAGATTGAAGCAATATTACTGCTCAATACTTCATATTGTATTAATAGAAAAGTCTCTGAATATTGAATACTGCTGATGGCCACAACAAGAGAAGCAGTGCTATTTACAGTTTCAGTATATTCAATTAGAGGCATTTGACTTTCTTTAAATACCAAGGGGAATACACATATTTTGACCTTTTTGTGGGTTTAAAAATACATGTTGTACAAAAAACCTTTTTTAACATTTTGTTCTAGTAAATTAAAAATACATACATACATACATACATAGGTTAATTGACCACTCCCCATGGGGCTTTTCAGGGCCAATTCCCAAATTAACGTCTCCTACCCCTAACCCTGCAGGAGACGGGGCCTACGGTTTATTCGTCCTTATTCGAGAAGACTAGAATATTTATCCATTTCTTGATTTTAAAAAGATAGCAAATTCTCCTCACTTATGAGTATTGGTCCGGCCTGGGCTCGAACCCTCGACCTCCCGCACAAGACAGTCCGTCCCTCTAACCAATTGAGCAAACCGGAAGGCGGTTAGCTCAAAAATGATATTGTTCATCAGCAAGATTTTTGTGAAATCTGACCTGAGTCAAACTGAGCACCCGACTTTGATCTAAACGTTATCATAAGTCCGTTCGAAACATGCAAGAAAGAAAATGTCAACATTGTTGCAGGAAACGAGGTAAACACGACACTAAGAAAACAATGGAAAGAAATTAAACAGACGAACGAAATATTCTGTGGGTGAATGAATCGTAGAAGTCAACATGAATGCGCTACGGGAAGTCATGAAATGTAAGTTCGAGCCCGAATCGATTCGAAGTCTTCATTTAGTGCAGTTTGAGCAAAATTTAGATGAAATTCATACCTTGAAGTCGATATACCAAGGCTAAAAGGCTGTGACAGTACAAACTGTAACCGATCATTCGCTGCTTGGGTTGCTTCAATTAAGCCCAAGGGCTTATCATGCAACATGTATTTCGAGTTCCTGATGAGTTATAGAGATCAACATGAATGATGTGTCACGGGAAGTCATGATATGTGAGTTCGAATTGATGTAGAACTTTTCATCCAGTGCAGTTTAAAGCAAGTTTCAGTTGAAATTCATACCTTGAAGTTGCTTTACCAAAGCTAAAGGGCTATGACAGTAGAAACTGTAACCGAGTATTTGTTGCATGGGTTACTTCAGTTGAGCTTAAGGGCTGATCATGTGATGTGTGCTGAAGCGGTTTAATTTGGAGTTCCATTTCAGTTGTTTTGACTGGCATCGATATCGACATTAATGATATTTAAGACGGAAAATGTTGTCTGAGCGTGATGCGTGACTTCTTTGTTGTTATTAAAGCAGCAAGTTCTATGGATCTTAGAATTCAGAGTGCAGGCTGAAATATTTTTCTTTAATTCCATCGCTAGTTCCTCTGTCCGCAACCGTTCTTGCGACCAAACTCTTGCTTCCTTCACCGAGTTAAAATGCCTTTAGAAGTAAACTTAGCATTTTAGGTTAAGTTTCAGTTTAAAGGTGAAAGTACTGTAGTACGGGGCAGAAACAACTCAAATATCGAACTGGTGGAGACTCATACACCTAGAGTCCTTAGGCTGAGTATGAAAAAGGGCTCGAACGCAATTCAAATAATACGATAAATAGATTGAAAAAAGATAAAAAAATATAGTAATAATTAAGACTCCTAAAAAGGACAGATACCACAATTTTTATTTTTAAAAGTGCATTTTACGAAAGAAACTGCAGCTATCGGAAAATATCGGAGCAGTTGTTATCGAATTGGCAAGAGAGGATGCATTTTCTCCTCCCTTAGAATTAAACAATTCCAAGAAATATATCTCAGGCTCGATCTTTCGAAAAAGATGCGTGGTTAAACGTTGGTTCTTACGGTTTGCGTGCTCAGTGGTTCATGGTTATGCATTGTTTAAGAAGAAAAGAGTGAAAGAAAAACAAATCTTGGATTGATCCAGTTATATTGAATGCCGACTTACATTTACTGCGGCAAATGGCTTGCCTTTCGCTCGAAAAAACTGAAAAACCATAACCTGCGGTATAGGTCGCGCAAAGTTACTGGTTCATAGACTAACCCTGTATATAAGCCCGCACTCATTGTATTCTGCGGCTCCAAAGACGGGAATGGAACCCAAGATCCCAAAAAAGAAAGCATAATCCGTGAGTTCAGTCGACCTAATCAAGTTCTGTTTGTTCAGTTTGAATGCCCTGGTTTTGCCGTCAAAACACTCTTAAAATTACAGTTCAATACCGCTACGAGAGTAAGGCCAAGAACTCAGCAGCGAACCGCTAAAAGCGGTTGAGATTGCCTTCTTTTTAAAGAGAGATCTAAAATCGACGAAGTCAGGGCTGTGCCATCTGCTTTTCGTTTGGAAATATCTCGTTCTATTTAGACGATATAAATCGCTTTCAGAAAATATTTGCTTTTATTTTCTAAATAACTTGATCAACCGCAATCGTAAGCTATTGTAAAATAACTCAGTACCTGTTACGTGAAGCAGGTTCTCTTGCCATCTTGAGTTAATCAAGCCTATCAGTGTGTTTTCTTGAAATCCTACCCACTGTTTATAACAGTTTTGGCGTCCTTTGTAAATAGATTGAATGGCTCATTACAGAGAATTGATCGATTCGGATCCTGAGACTGCTCACGGACACAAAATCCTCTCCCACTGAGTCACGTCGCCACCATAATCCGACGGATTATTTTTAGAGCTAAGATCGTGATCGATTTTACAATAAAAATATGAGATCACGTTTCACTTTTGAACGAAGAAAAGGAATTTTGGAACTATAGGATGTAATCAGGAACTTTCAGAAGGCGTTGTTGGACCGTAGACAGGGGGTGCAAAAATACTGCATGCATAAAATTTCGACGAAGAAAGCGGAACTTCAAAAATTCGGTTTATTTTTTACACACCACCGGTCTTGCAGGCTCTCTCAAGCCTGAAAAGCTGTCACATTCGCTCATACGAGGAGAACTTGACTAGCTAATAAGCTGTCATATTCAAGAGCAGAAAGCAGAGATTTTAGTTTCAACATAAGAATAAGCAAAACATTGGCCGCGATCTATCTACGCCTCCAAAATAATTGTCGCGAACCTCTACTTTAAAGATATTTTTTGGGAATTTATTCCTTTTTCTAATAATCGTTTGGCATATTTTTTTTTAAGCAATTTCTTCCAAAAGAATGTTTCTGGGTCCTTGACAAGGTTGGTAAGACCCCTCATTGAGCGATAGTTAGCGCTTGACGGACGCCAAAAAATTTTGCTATTTTCATAGTTCATCAGTCGCTGCGTGGGGGAATCGCCGAATTAAACCCTGGAAGAAATTCTTATCAGATTTATTCCCTGAAATGACCACAGATAAAACATGGTGTGAAAACAAAATAACAATTTCTCACGCCTGGATTTCCTTAAAGCCTTATTTAACTTTTCAAATTAGTGTCATCTTCTGCTTCAGTTCAAAATACAGGAAGTTGCAATATTTAACTGTAGATCTTCCTCCTAGATTTATTTTTGACTTTCCATTTCAAGACTGATATTTTAACCTGCATGTACCTATATCTCGGTCATGTGTTTCGCTAACGACATTTCTGTGTGCATTTTGGTCTTACAAAATCTTGCCGAAAAAACTTTAATGATCGCCTAAAGCATGTAACAATTGCTTGTGTTTACAAACAATACGTCCTTTAAATGACTCATCAGGTTAGCCCTATATCAATGTTTGCGTTTGCAGATCTGTGAAAAGAATCTAGGCAGTTTTATTTGACCTGAAAATTTCATGAAACGTTTTATGTTAAGCTAACCCTTACGAAGTCTTTATTGCCTCTATTAGAATTTCGTTGCTGTTTTGGTATAGTGTTGGGATTCCAAACTTGTAAAGTTAAGAATCTTTTTCTCTTTTAGAAATTCCAAAACTTTTTACGAGTAAAAAGTAAATCCAAATTTCTATTTCCCTTCGAAGTGAACTGTTCACGAATGGGAAATAGCAGTCATTTGGCATTCGTGTCTCATTAATTTAGCGCTTTAATTTTCGGCCTTAATTTTCACAGCGGTTGGGGGAATTTCAGAATTTACAAAAACTACCATCGCAAAACGGGGGTCCTCAAAATTTTCAGCCATAGCGCCATTTAATTTACAACACCTGCTCTCTAATCTGGGTTTTTCTGTCTAAATTTACTGCTGCCCTTCGATTTTGTTCCGAGAATAACTTGCGGTTTTTGATTACCACTTTTAAAAAATCTGTAGATTATTCATTGTTTAGCGGAAGTCATCACATCTCGATGAATCTTTTCGCAAAAACAAGTCGTTTTCTTGCATCTTCGTATTCGTCGAAACAACAAGACCAAATTGTTTGCAATTTGAGTCAAACTCGACCACGAGTCAATTTACACTTTTTTGATAATGATGATTCCTGGCCTGTGGGGCGTTAACGCTTGTCTTCAAGTGAGCATTCATAATAAGTTCGTAGATTAAAATGGAAACCACTTTATTCAATGTAATATTGACTAATTTTTCTCAGAAGGTAAAAGGCTCCAATGTACTTAGAAAATTGACTGCGATATCAATAGCTCGACAGGATACAAAAGTGGCATATCTTCGGCTCTTGTGCGTTTTAAATCTTTAAAACGATTTATTTTCTAAGAATAGCAAATCAGGTTGGACTGATAGTTATCAATTCAAAGAGACCGGAAGATGAACAATACACACGCAAACGCCTCATAAAGTTGGAACGACATTCGTTAATCTTTACCAGGTTCTAATGAACTTCAGAAAAGAATCAGTACTCGGCGTTAATTTACCAAAGTGGCTTTAAGTCTTCTGCAGTATTGTTTGCTTTCTCAAAACGACGCATGAAGTTCTTTAATAATTAATTACTCACCGAAGTCAGCCAGCATAAAATGCTCATTTATGAAAAGGCGGACGAGATAGGTTCATTAGCAAACCAAAACATTGTGGTTACCAGCTGAGCTTTGTAGTAATAATTTCATCGCAGCTGCGACCTTCAAGTACAAAAAAACTAAGCTTTTTCTTATTATTATTTTCATTCGTTCGCCAATGAGCAAGTTGCTTGCAATTTCAAGAAATTTTCTCGGATTATTACAAAAATCGCATCTTCACCCACGTTGAGTCAGGGAAAATGGCAATTCGGAGTGAAAAGTCGCTTTGCCATCCTACAATAACCGGTTTTCCATGTTTTGTTACGGGGCTAACCTCGTATATTCTCATTTGACAGGTGGCTTGGATCCGGGGGGAAAGTTGAAAGACGACGCAAAAATAAATTTTCGATAACTATTAATCTCCAAATTCTTCTAATACTCGTAAAAGGACAGTTGCGCAAGTTTGTGGGGTAATTTTATCAAGTAATATTTTATCCTTTGTGGAAATCAAAAAAGAAAAAAAAAGTACCTTCTGACTGTGCTTAACAACCTGTTGTTAACCAATCAAGTGCGCCTTTGTAAACAATAACAATAGCCTGAAACGTACTGGTGACACACGCCGATTGGATACGAAAGAATTAAAAACTGATTGCATTAACACATTACCACCGTTTGAAGATTTATAACCCCGTGCAGGCACGAGTGGCAACATTTTACAGATTCTTATTTCAAGGAAACGAGAGATACCTGCTAATGCTCAAGTTCAGGCGCCTCTCCTACCTGCTGATCGAGAAGTTCTTACAAAAATCCGTCGGTATAGATTTGGAATCAAGTAAAGATGCCTAAGTCATTCCTGTTGCGGCGCCATCTGAGGCAGGAATGGAACAGCAGAGAGGATTATTCCATTGCAGGTAAGCACCTAAAATATTGACGATCCCTCCTGAACCATACAGCCCTGCCATTTATTTTGCTATTGTAAATCTGCTGATAAAATAAGTGAATACTTATTTCTAGTTAACTTCGGCCAAAACGAGTTAACGAAGACCCATTCCTGACTTGTGGATTGTGCATACTTTAGGATCTTTGCAATTTGGTCTTTGGGATCGATCGGCTCCCAGAACAGGTTCTCTGGGCCTATCTCTCCAAGAACAAAGTCCGTCCTTCAAAGAAGCAACAGACGTGAATGCAAATCGCTCGGAGAAGCATACGAACAATGAGCAATACTTTGCTGAGTGTGTTTACACTAGCGATTTGGCGCCAAGTCAAAATCAGAAAGAGAGCAAGTTGAAGATGGGCAAACATAAAGAATTATCAAGAGCAGAAAAGGAGGAATTTACCTGCGCAGTAACGAAAGATAAAACACGATTGGGAAAAGGTTCCAAAAGGTCTCAACACCGAGGGCTTGAAGAGCCAAGGAATCTACGAGAAGGTTCTAAAAGATTGCCTTCGTCGTTTCAAACAAGCCCAGTCAAACAACCCTATAAGTGCGATCAGTGCGGTAAAATTTTTAAGACGAAGTATACACTGACGATCCACCTGAAGATGCCATCCCACACAGGCGCCAAGCCGTTTGTGTGCGCCATATGCGGCAAGGGATTTCGATTGTCAAGCACACTTTGCCGTCACAAAATCATTCACACTTCTGAGAAGCCCCACAAGTGCCACATCTGCGACAAAGCCTTCAATCGCTCATCCACGCTCAAGACTCATATTCGCACTCACAGTGACTTAAAAGAATTCGTATGTGATATCTGCGGCAAAGGTTTTCATCAAAAAGGCAACCTGCGTAACCATGTTCTCATCCACACAGGAGAGAAGCCGTATCGCTGCAATCTCTGCGAAAAAGCCTTCAATAAGCTATCCAATTTGAAGTTCCATATGCATGTTCATACGGATAACGCCCCATACCGTTGCCGATACTGCAAGATCTGTTTCACAAGGCGATGTGATCTCAAACTTCACATCTCCGAGTGCAACCCGCAGCGTTGAAGAGGAAAAAAAGCAAAAAAATTCCACATCGTTGGCATTAGGTGACAGTTAATCGCCATTAACACGTAAAGCAAATGGATGGTTCGCTGATCAAATATTTATGGCGACGACGCCAGAAATTTAGATGAACTTGCCTTCTTAAAACAGAAGAGTATCAAAAAAATTAAATAGATGGTCCAAGATCTGCCAAAAATGTAATCGCAGATACGAGCCACTATTTTGTGGCTTGTTGAATAACTTGCCAGACAAGGGAAAGACATAGAAATTCAATTCCCTAAGCAACTTTAATGAGTTTGATTTTAGTTACCACAACGGGAAAGCTAAATGCCACATTACTGAAATAGCATTTTCTTATTTTCCTGAGAGCTAATTCATCGTTACAAGACATCAATGTTAAACGTAGTTGCAAATTCTTGGATTTAGAGCTCAGAATGGCGTAAACGCTAGAGGTTCTTCTTGGAAATTGATTTTTTTGCTGACCAAAATCAACGCACAAGTTGTTTAGTAAGGGTATATAATTATTAACAAAGCGACCGAAAAAGTATTGGTCGATACTTGTTAAACTAAGTAAACGATAAGGACAAAAGTTTCGCACATTCCTAGAAAGTGGTATTCGTTGCAAACTTTTTTTCTTTGAGATTTTGTCTCCATGTATTTCAGCTATTTGATTTCTATTTAACACGTAGTTGAAAAGAACATGTGAATATCCTAGAAATGCCTTCTTGAGGTAGCACGTAGACTTATAACTTATTAACAAGTGTCAGTCTTACTCATTAACATAACTAGGCGACCGCAAAGACAGATTTATGTGGCGTTTAAGAAAAAAAATTCAAAGAAAACTGCTTGCGATCTGAAATTATATTTAATGCTGATGAGCACGAGTGTCATAAAATATTTTAAAATTTTCCCCAGACATTTATTGATATTAACTGAGAACCATAGTGACTACGAAGTTGAACTTTTGTTTTCGCAAACGATCTTCACCTGATGCCAAACAAAACTAGAAAAACAAATAAATCAGTTCTTAAGCACTGCGAAGAGAAATCAAAATAAATCACTTGGATGTTTTATGAAAAAAATGTTGGCTCGTCGAGACACTGGAGAAAAGAGGGAAAACATTTATCGAAGTGTTATCGACCTACTGGCCCTTTTCTGAATACTATTTCTTTTTTCGTGTATTAGACCTTGGCAGATCATTTACACTTTATCCATGACTTAACAAAAACACCTGAAACCAATTTAACGTGGAATTTAGCTCAACGCAAGATGTAATGTATATACTTTCCACAAAACCAATTTGAAAAGAAAAAAAGGGTATCATAGCACATAATTTAAAACAGAGCTAAAACCACTTCTGGCAAGTCTTTACAGGGGAGCACTCTGTTTTTCTTATGTTGTGTTTCTATTTTATGTAGGAGCTGTTCAAAACAGCGCAGGTTGTTTGTACGGTATTGTTAAGGCAATCACAAAGGATTTGACTATCAACAATAACTATTCCCAAGAGACTTCATATTGAACTGTAAGTGGTGAACTCATTTGCTGTAATTAACACGCGTGCCCGTCCAAAAGAAATACTAATTGATGGACTGGCCAAGTGGAACCGGCGCGGGCCGCTTGCTGATTCTTTCAACTTTGCAAGACAAAGCAAGAAGACAACAAGCAGACCGCGAGTAATCAAGTGCTTAAAAAATATCAAAACTGAAACTTTCATATAGAATGGTAAAAATGTATTATAAGAAAATAGTTTTGCTTGTGCTATTATTGTGCTTCAATTTTTAAAGGCAAAAATTTCAAGGAAAAAAGCGTTCCTTAATTTGCCGGTTCGCGCTTTTTGCGTTTTTCATGTTTTTTTTTTCATTCTCTTTTTTAAATTTGAATCGTTTACTGTAGAATAAGAAACGTCTTAACAAATGAGAAATCTACCGACCCTTTCTTCAAGTATTTCTTACTGAAGCTGCATGTGAAGATTTGAATGAACCAGTCATTGTTACAGGAAGCAAATTAGGGAAAAGTAGTATCTCATTTCAAATTATACGTCTATTCTATTTTTAGCTTGATCCCTATTATTAAAAGAAAGATATCGTCGTGTTTTTGTTTTGCGCCCCGAAGAGCGATGAGAGTCGTTTTGGAATAACAAAGTAAGGAAGGAAAACTTACTTTTAGTGGCGAACAAGTTACTATTAGCGATGACTGAGGCTGCAAGTAGTCAGCAGCTTGAATAGGAAAAAAGTCGCATGACGGTAGACACTCGCAGAGGGAAAAAAAAAGGCAAATGTTCAGTAAGGTTAACAGGCAATATACGACAGTATGTTCACACGCAGTATGTTCACACGCAGTATGTTCACACGCAGTATGTTCACACGCAATATACGACAGGCTTTGAAGTTTCTGATAGTAATACAGATATTCCATGTTATCTATAAGTAAAGGGCGATTGACACAGCAAGTCTCGAATGAGCACAGTTTGACATGGAGGAAAATAAACGTTTTATTTTCCTTTTCTCTAGTGTCCTTGATCTTAAGAATATGAAAAGAAATTTTTAGTCTCACGAATTCAAATAAAACTTTTCAAAGTGATACGAAGAAAGTAACGAAATAATCAAGACTGTTTCATTTTTTCAAACGAGATGGCCTAAATGGAATCATCAACATGCCTCAAAGCGCGAGATAATTGACTTTTTCCGCCTCGTACAAGTGTCTATAAAATTGATTAAGACTACTTAAAATTAAGAATATTTGAAAAAAAAAAAAAACCTCGGTACAGTAGAAGATTAATCCTGTTTGCAAAAATTGAAAGCCGTGATCAAAAACTAACTGATTGTGACTTTAAAATAACAAATGCAGAATTCCAAGTTTGTCAAATAAAATCGATATCTACAATATATGATCTTTGGATCCGTTAGTTTTCTAAGTTTGTTTTGTACATTTTGATATGGAATCAGAATATGATTCTATATTAAGAAGGGGAAAGTCAAACAGTGAGCACGAAACTCAAGTTCTTTCTGTTGATAATAAATATCTTTCGGAACGAAAGATTTAAGCAAAGCGAGCAAAAGGATTCGTGTTAAATTCACTGTCAATCAAAATGACGACACAATATCTTTTAACGTTTGCTTATCCAAACCGATGATTGTCATCAGAATTTGATCCAGGCTTACCTGAAGAGGAAATTGTACTAATAATAACATAATGCCTAAATTATTGCCATTGTTACTATCACTAGCTTTTTTTGGATCTTTCATTCACAGGAATTGGTTTCAACGATAACTGTTTTGAATTAAATTGGAATATATAGTTATCATTATCTCTCGTAAAATTAAAATTTCCGAGACTATAAGCTATATCTCCAGAATTCGATCCAGGCTTACCGGAAGAGGAAAATATACTAAAAATAAAATAATGCCTAAATTATTGCCATTGTTACCATCGTTAGCTTTTTTGTTTTGGATCTTTCATTCGTCGATCAACGAACGCTTTCCATTCCATTAATTTATTCCTGTTTTTCTCGTTGCCATGTTCCCACCAATGACGTAACTCCTTTTTCTGCCTTTAAAAGCACACACATCCCACAATTCGACTATTCGCTCCGACCAAGGGCTAAGGCTCGAAACGTGAGCTTTTATAATCGTAACGGTGGCCAATTTACCATTTCAACTTTGTTGATATATTCAGATTATTTCGTTACCCCCACCGACGCAGCCCCAAACAGTTTCTCTAGAAACTATCAGCCTTTATTTACAAGTTATATTTGTTTCTTGAAACAAAAGTAACTGATTTGCATCGAAGAGAGCTCCGCTCCCCCAGAATTAGTTCACCATAATGTCCTTGTCTCTACTACTTAATAACATTAAAACGGGGCGACACACTCACTCTCTCAGTCGCTATCGGGTCCTTGGGCTAACACTGCCCATCGCTACCACTTCGAGGTCTTTCTCGGTTTTGCTCTAGCTCCTTTCCCGAGTGGACTCCAGTATATGGCGACTTTTGGAATAGTAGATGCGTCTTCTATGACAACCTGATCAAGTCAACGTTACCTTCTCTTTTTCAGCCCAGAAATGACGTCACGTATGGAACCAGCAATTGCATGAGTTCGACAAATCGCCAGGCGCGTAGTTCCCTCTAAGCCAGTAAGCCCGGGCTTACAAAATTTTCTCGGAAATACTTGACTTTCCCTACCTTTCCCTGCTGCACTATACTTACAAGGTATGGAACGGGCGTACAAGCCAAAAATGACTTGCTACGCCCCTGAGTGCAGATGGTTTGAAGTAGCATCGAGAGAGAATGATTGAATTATCATTTTCTCCCAGTAACATCGCTTTTAAGGTAGGTAACAAGGCAGGTCTCCGACCCATGTTATCCATATGGCCAATGCAGTAAGTGTTGCATTTATCAAATCAGGCAAATGGAAATGTGGATGTGACTTCCCGGATGGAACTGTTGTCATAATTGGCACGCACAACAGTACTTTGTGTTGCGTATGGTGGTAGCTATGCTTTGGTATAGAATTGGTGAGATGAAGCTTGAAATTTTTGTGATAAAAATGACTTCACACTAGTAAGTGACAGCGTTTGAGACTTATGTGGTGATTTGTAAGTCCATGCCATAAACAAGAGATTACTCTTGGAGATCTATTATTTACTATAATGCAATGATAGTCGCGCATAATTTCCTGTGATGTGCAATGAGCAATTTGACGAGTTTGCTAAATTGTGAAAAGAAAAGATAACAATTTCAGAGTGATCCTAACAAGTGAAATGAAATGATCCAACTCATTCAATTTAATTTTACTTCTGAGGAAAATTTCGTTGATTTTTATCATCCACAGGTAAAAATATAGGTTTTTTTCGTTTATTGATGACTTTGCAACATGAAGTTATTGATAATTTGCATTTAGTTTGTCGAACTATGTAAAACTTAGCAAATCAAGAGTATTGCTTTGCGGTTTTTCAACCAAAAAGCATTTTATTGAAAAACATTGGGCCAGGAAGTTGAATGGTATCATACTGAATATACTGAATATAGCAAGAGAGAAAAAAGTTCAGGTAAGACCATAAAGAAAAAAATGAGTAGCATTTAGTAATAGCTTTCAGAATAATGAAAGTGACGATGACTTTAAAAGACGTCGCTTATAACAATCCCAGTGCCAGTGCAAAATACTAAAACCAAATCAAGATGGCTTTTTATCCTGCCGCATGTGATACGAAATAAGAAAAAAATCGCTTATTTAGTTTTGAGCGTTCTCTAGCACGACATGTGCATTAGATATAGGCGGACGGTTTGCTGTTATGTTGGTTAACATGTTCTGTTGCATGATGATGATGTAAACCACTTTTACGCTGAGATTCATCTTCATTTCCTATTTTGGGCTTGTCCTCTACATCTTTGTTTTTAGGCAGTAGTGTCCGTAGCTGTTGAAGAGCAATACTCCAGTTGGCATCAGCTTTAGAATGATACTTGTAGCGATTGAGAGATTTGCCTCGTTTGCTTTTCCAAGACCTTACCACTCTGTCCTTAAAACGTTGCAGAAGGCTGAAAGTCTGTAATGGATGAAAGTAAATTGAACCTCAACTACACTTGTACCACAAGGTCTGCTAAGAACTTACATTTTCTCACACTAACTCACAAAACCCCAATGGCAAACACTTGAAAAGGGGCAATCTCCAGACATTTTCCGAAATTACTTTACTTTTTTCACCTATATATTATGACAGCTCTCTTCGACGAACATCATTAATCTGGTGTTGAACTTTGAACTTTTGAACTTTTATTTATTTCACGCTATTAATAGAAGTTAATATTTATACGAAAAATAGGAGAGATAAAGAAGAATAAAAGTAATAATTAGCTATAAAGATAAGTTTAAGAGGTGCACGGTGTCCAAAGTAGCAAAAGCTTTCTAGTTGGACACCGTAATGGTCATATAAATAGATAGCAGCTTATAATAAAAGTAAATCAGCAGTAAAGTAAGTAAAATGATTAGGTTTTGTTGAACAAGGTTGAAGTTTCCATTTTTCCTTAAGAGTAGATCAGTAGCAAAGTAAAATGGTCAGGTTCGGTTAAGTAAAAGTTGATGTTTCCATTCTTTTTTAAAGCTATTGTAAGGCATATAGTAAGATAAGTGGGTACGGTTTCCCATATCTTTGAAGCAGAGAATATAAAAGATGATTTTACCATGTTGGTGGATTCTCTTGGTCTAAAAAAAAATATTATTAGTAGCAAATCTTGTATTATTATTATGTTTTCAGATGCTGGGGTCAGGATATCAAGGAAGATATCTGGAATGCTATCACTTTTAATATTAATCTTATATGTAAGGCAGCATATTCTTAATTTKTAAATAGCATCCAACTTTAGAATTCCTAATAGTTTATAATAGGGATTGGCACTTTCTCTAACATTTGCAAAGAAGATGCTACGAAGAGATTTGTTCTGTTTAATACAGAGGCATTTTAAGTTAGTATTGGTGGTACAGCCCCAGGTAGTTATACCATAGCTTAAATAGGGATATATCAAAGCATAGTATAGTTTTTTTAACATTATTAAATGCTGTATAGCGTCTCAATATAGTAAGAATTCCAGCGTTTATTGCTATTTTATTGTTTATATGTTGTATTTGCGGTTGCCACTTTAGGTGCTTATCGATATAGACTCCCAGGTATTTATATAAAGCTTTGATTCAATGTTTTCAATATTTATCGTGGGGTGGTATCTAGGAGATGAAATTAACATATAGCTAGTTTTTGCGAAATTGATAGACAACTTATTTAGTGCACAGTATTTATAGATTTGTTTAAGCTCATGATTCATAACAGATTCTAGATTATGTGGGTTGTTACTAGTAAAAAAGAAGTTAGTATCATCAGCAAAGCTCCGCTCTGAAAGTTTATCAGTACAATTTGGTAAATCACTAACATAACGTAGAAATAAGACTGGACCTAGAGTTGAGCCAAGAGGAATACCACATGTTATATTTTCATTGGCAGATCTAGTGGAATCTATTTTGACATATTGGTTACGGGTTTGAAAATAACTCTCAAACCATTTATGTGAGACTCCTCGAACACCATATAAAGAGAGCTTAGACAGTAGAATGCTGTGACTTACTGTGTCAAAGGCCTTTGACAAATCAAGAAATAGACCACATGTGATTTTTTTCCTATCAATTGCTAGCTTTAAATTGACTGTAATTTCAAGAATAGCCTGGCAGTGGAGTATCCTTTCCTAAATCCAAATTGATATTTTTATAAGATCTGGTGTTTTTCTGTGAAGGAATATAGTTGATTGTAGACTAGTCGTTCAAGTATTTTACTGAATGGTGAAAGAGTTTGTATAGGGCGATAATTGCTAGGGTTTGTAGCATCTCCATTTTTATGTACTGGAGACACCTGAGAGACTTTTAATATATCAGGAACAATGCCAGTTTCTATAGACTGGTTGTAAATATATGTTAGAGGTATTGACAATGGTTGAGCAGCTACTTTGATTAATTTATTAGGGATACCTAGGGATGACTTGTGGTCATTTAAGCATTTATATAATGGGCAGACTTGGGTTTCAGTAACACAAGATAGAACAAAGCTGTCTACCGGGGTTGATTTATGTACTGGGTAGGATTTGCTTCACAGTGTCTAATATTTTGGGCTAGGTTTGGACCTACATCAACAAAATGTTTGTTAAATTGATCTGCAATATCAGGTTTACCTGTGTAAACTCTATATATTGTTATGGGCGATTTTTTAAATAGGGTTCTGCCTCTTATGACTAATTGTTATTGTGTCCTTTTTCCGTTCTCGTCTGTCTAGGCAATTGTCATTTTCGTAAACGGTTGATATCACACATATAAATTGATTCTTCTTAGAATTCTTCGGCATTACAGAATATATCGGTGTTTACTTCAGAAAACAAATAAGCGCCCTGTCCCTAATAAGCGCCCTGGTTTGAATAACCGCTCTTCCTTGATGTATCAAAAGTAAATAAGCACCCCGGGTGCTGAATCGAACCATTATGATATGTTTTAATTCACAGCTGCTTCAACTGACTACATGGAACGTTTAAGTTAAAAAAGAAAGAAACAAAAAGAACGACAACAAAGACAAAAGTATAACAAAACACCAAAAAAATAAAACATCACTCATCTCCAGTTTGGAGGCCTTACTCATGGCATATCTAGCCCACCTGGCCTCGTTTTCGATCTTTGTACGCTGCCCAGGCCAATTCAACCAGAAGAGTAATCAAGCTGAGAGCCAGACCAAAGAAGACAGCATAAAATGCACCAGCCATGTCATTAAATACCAAAACGTCTCCCGTGAAGGAAGTGTCTGAAAACATTAACAGGCTTTTCACTTAAGGCAATGACAATATAATCTGGACTCTAAATCACTTACTCTGATGACATGAAATCCAAAGACCTTCTTTTGCATACCTGATGATTCTTGCAAAATTGTCTCACACACTCCATGAAGCCACCTTTCCCTCAAGAGTTTCAGAAATCCTTTCTGCCGTAAATCGAGGATTTTTACACTGAACTGATGCGTGAAAGGGGAGTTCTTTGGAAGCGCAAAGCCATAGCCGAACTTGCCGAAAACTCTGCAGAGAATCGGGAGATTTTGATTGTTGCACAATAAAAATAACCTAATCCCCCATGGGGCTCCGTAATATTTGAATGATCCCCTTCATTGACAGTCAGTTTTCTTTATCCCCCCATTTAAACCCTGTTAGTTACGACTGATCCTTCCTTCTCCCCCTGAAAACCATGTCATCCTCCAAACTTCCCCTTAAGGGTAAGGGTCAGCTGTGCATCAGAAATACGTTAAATTTTCTATAGCTTCCACCTCGTATCAAAAAGAAAAAAAAAACATTTGTGTGGCTAGCAAACAAAGAAAACATATGATAAGGTTTGACGTTGAATTTTATTTCCCTTCTCCGGCATTGCACGAGAAGCCATTTTTTTTTAATCGAGTTTCCCACACCTAGGCATTCCACCATTCCAAAGTCCTTCAAAATTTGAAGAATAGGTCCCGAGAATATGAAAACTACTAAGTCTCTTTTTTTATCGCCTGTACACATTTTTCCACTAGCAAAACATTAGGGGCAGGAGATGTATGGACAGGAAACGAAAACATAAAGACGTCGCCTCTTATTTTGCATAACTAACATCCTACCTTCCAATTGTTGTCAATGTGTTGCAGGGCCTTTGTCCTGTGTAATAATCCAATACAGCTGACTCACTAATGAAAGCAAATCCACCCTGTCTCGCTCTACTTATACCGTCATTCACGTTTTCCACCAAGGTGTCGTGACGTCTCATAAATGCCCACATCTTCGCATAGGTTGGAACGCGTGACATTTGAAAGAATGCCATAGTGTGACTGTCCTTAACGCAGCCATACTTGATTTTCGTCTGGGAAGCCAAATCTTCAAGGCTGTTGATTGGTGTCTCAAAAACATCCGTGACTAAAAAACTGGCCAAATTGGCAGTGTAAGACGCACCTGTGACGAAAAAAACACACCTTTTTTCATCCATTCTAAAGCAACCGGGAGTCAGAAATCAGAGGTCAGAGCGACCTGATGTCAACAAACAAACGATTTTGATGATTTTACGTAAAGCGAATTCGGAGACTTATAGGTCACTACAATTAAATGTAGCTTTGGATGAGCTGCCGAAGCTAAGTGAATTCGATCTAAATGCTAAAAAAAGCATATCAAATTGCACTAAAGCTATTTGTTTTTTTCTTGAATGTCTGGCGCTTAACTCATTTCTCATGCGAAATCTATGAGCTGTTCGCTGCTTTGCTCAAAGGAGGCGAGAACCTTGATGTAAGGGCTACTCCCACAGAGCCTCTCTCTATCCTTTATAGACAATACCCCTGTCTATCCTAGATAGGCAATACCCCTCTCTATCCAAGAATAAAAAAGTGCTTCAAACCAACTGTCCGAGAATGTATTGAGGAAGAAACACGGATGCTGTAATAAGGTAGTAGAACAAGGAAGATGGCTTTGGCGTACACTTAAGCGAGACTCGTTATTTAATCTAAACTTTCTTTTAACAACGAATGGTATTTATTACTTATTATCAACATGGCAAACCACCAGAAGGCGATGACAACCCTCCCAGACGTAGACTGTGGATGTGTTACGTCAGCTCCTTGACCAACCGTGTACGAAAACGATGACCACGCGGACTCAAACAGCCGAAGACAGTCCTTCGTGCTCCAGTGATCATCCCTTACGCTGTTTTGGTCACGTGACTGGGCGATTCTCCCGTGATAACCACGTGGACTGAATGTGGCATGCAGCCACAGGAAGAAACCAATAAGAATAGTGCCAGCGACAATGGCCAACCAGAGGGATGTATTAAAAGGTTTTAGAAAAGAGAAAATCTTGTAGTCCTCGTTGACTTTGTTTTCGATGAGAATTGAGAGGCCAAGATGCATGAATGGTTGAGTAAAATCCACGGCTGTTTGCCGTTGTGAGCTGACAGATAAAGGACCAATCGCCAGATCTGCTTTCTGAGAGGAGCAAGATTAGCTTTAGTCGCATTATGGTAAACTAAACGAACATCTAACTTACACTCAGACATGACCAACAATGAATATACTAACAATGATATTGTATTAACTTCCCTATGATAAGAGAGAGGTGATCGCTAAGGACTAAGTACGGAAGCGCGTTTATGGAAGATAGCTTTGACGAGAAAACTGAGATCATCGATTTCTGTTCCCACTTCTGTAATTTGAATCAATTTCGATTTAATTGGGTCGACATCCTCTCTTTGGTGTTTGATTGCCGTGTACATGCACATGTTGTTCCATTTTCATGATACTTCTTCCATACATTAACACCGGGCAAACGCAAAGGTTTGGTTGTATAGCACCGGGGGAGAAGGGGGGGCGGAGGGGGAAGGCTTCCCCTGTAGGAAGCGTCCCAAAGCATGAATAAAGAGAAAATTGCGTACTCTTTCAATTAAATGTTCGATCATCCCATTCCACTTCTGACTGAAAAAATCCCATGAACCATACTGGTTGCTAGGTAAAACCTCTATTCTGTATTGGAACTTCATGTCTTGCTGAAGTCTTTTGAGAAGCTCCATACAAAATCCTGTATAAATTATCTCTCCTTTCTTAGTAACTTGCTCCTTTATGAAAGGTGGTTGCTGAAAAGTATAAAGGGAAAATCAAAATGCAAAGAAATGCCGAAAAGCTGTTTCATTTAAGGTTTGCTTTCCTCCTTAATTTATAGCAAATCCGAAACATCACGATGGCACGATTGCAGCCTATTAAGGGTTATCATCCAACTTGTTTCCCTTGGATTGTGTAATTAAACAAAAAGCTTCACATATTTACATCGGGGCATGATTGATAAAAATGCAAAATATTAATCCTAACAGCGACCTACGACTTATTATTCAATTATTATTCGACTTATTATGTTTTGATGGACCTCTCTAATTTCAGCGCTAAAAGTCAAAATTACAAGACGCTTGTACTAAAATTTGCAACTTACTATTACGGTGACAACTCGAATGCTGATGTTTTCTACTGTATCTGCCCGATCACTTGGGGCCTGCAATGATTGGGAAAGCCAGAGTACTGGTTTTTCTGGAAACATGACAACTCCTTGCGATGGCGTCCATTTGCCGACCTAGGATAAGAAAATCAAACCACATTGGCAATTATTATGCAATCGAACCTTTTTCCACAGAATGGCATTATCAAATGATATTTGACTCTAATTTCAGGTCTCTGATTAAAACTAAGTTATCTTGATCTTGATCTAATCTTTTTTTAGTTATCTCTTTTTTTTTTCATGGCATATATTTGCAAACCATCAATGTAAGTTACCCAATTTTTTTAGGCTTTGACCTCCATCTAACCCTTCCCGCCAAAGCTTACTTGGTATTATGTACACATTTTCAGTAATGAAATACCTTCACGAAACCAGTTCTTCCTAAATTGACAATGTCAAATTCCTGAAAAGTTGGTGAACCGTCTCCGCCAAATTCCAAGTCATTCATAATACCACTCGTACGGACCTAGAAGTCATGTTTTGTGATTTATTACGGTAACGTTTTTTAAAAGTAATTCTTTTATTTAAATGAAGATATCTATTGGAGAAGTCTATCGTAAAACTTGATGTAACTAATAGTATATACCTGTGAGGAACTTCTGTTTTCGCAATGATCGATAAGGCAGCTAAAACCCTCGGATGTTAAAAGGGGGAAGTGTGGGTGAACACCACTTTTAAGTTGAAAAAGGAAGCACGGTAACACCATCATTTATTTTCTGAGTCTTATTTTCCTTTGACAAGACAAAAATTATAGTGCAAAAAGTGAATAAAACTTGTAAAAAATTCCGCCATAGTAGAGTGCTATTAGCACTTATAATCCACCCATTAATTTTGGCGCGATTTTATCGCTTACTTTACGCCACGTGGTGCAAAATCATAGCACAGTTATCAGGCAATAACCCCCGTCCGCGTCAATATTTGTCCTCCGATTTTTTCCGTGAAAAAGAAACATAGTGAACACAAGAGTTTCAACTTTTTCTTTCTCCTGTTTACATGGAAGGAAACCAAACTCGTTTCTTTTTTGCTTGCTTGCGTCAGTCATGCGCATTCGCCATCAGATCACCACTGGCTTTTTTACTGTGTTTACGCACGGCTTAATTGCGATGTGAAAATTAATGGGAGGGTTATAAAATAAATAAACCCCGTTCTGGCTTGCTGGTATGTCGGATGATAATGTCCCTGGCTGAGAGATTGTCCTCAAAATTTCATGTTTGCCCCCGAACTCGCTTCTCGGCCAAATATTCATTTTTCGGACAATCTCTCAGCCACGGACATTATCAGCCGACATACCAGCCGCCCGAAGTGGTTTATTTACTAAATATATTCCATAATATCGACATCATCTTGTAGACGAAAAAACAGGCTATCTATTTAAGGTAAGCGCTTTACAAAATATCGCAAGGTAACGTAAGGGGGGTTCCAACCACATCCCTGCCTTGATCCACGGTGGAGGTATGAGTTTACATGTATGTCCGAGGAATAATTCTGTTTCTTACATAGATGTAACAAATTCATAACTAAATAAAAGGGGTACGTTTCTAAAGAAAGCGTGGTGCCCCGTCGATGGAGGGTATTACAATATACTTGGTTCATCAACTGAATATAAATTGGCCACCTAATTAAAGAGTTTTAGAACATAGCTAGCAGAGTCGCGCAATCAAATTCATTATACGTAAGCGTGCTCAAAATCCCGATAGTGCACGCTGATAGCGTCAGCAAATCCGACTTCGCCAGAAATTTTTTTTTCGCGCGAGCGGCCATTGCTAGTGCGGGGAAAAATAATACATTTCGCGACAATAATGGATACAAACAGAAACTCGGCCTGCTAGTCCGAAAACGAAGACAATGTTTCGACCTTTTCCCATGGGCTAGAGTTCTTAAATGAGGCAGAAAAAGAGAAAAACAAAGGAAAAGGAGACTCGGCATCAGCGCCGTCACGATTCGCTTCAACTGATATTGTTGTCCGTTTTTCGCGTCGCATTTGATGCACAATTCCACCGGCTATGTTCTAAAACAATTGGTTCATGCTTTCAGCTGTGCACTATCGAGTTATGGAGCACGTGGGAAGTTTGGAGAGCACTCAAGAAGCTAGAGTTGCCCTCGGCTATCGCCTCGGGCAACTCTTACGCTTCTTTCGTGCTCTCCAAACTTCCCGCGTGCTCCATAACTCGATAGTGCACGCTAAAGCATAAACCAATTGTTAATTATAAGACTGACGTGTCAAGCGTTAGCTCTACTACAACTAGCCCCAAGAGTGAGTACTCATGTGCGCCATTTTCTCGAAATCTCCCACCCAGCAAACCTCGAGTACACTACATTTTGCCACAAATTTCTTGTTTTTACACATCGCGTTTCTTTTTGTTTAGTTAATTTCGGAAAGCTGTCTTGCTAAGCGGCATAAAAGCGTAGCTTCAGGTAAAATTGGTTATTCTGGAGTACATTTGCTTAAGGACTTATTAAGATATGTCAAGCAAGGCTGACTCAAACTAGAAAAGAGATGGTTGCGAATATCTGTTGCAACCCCATCCTCCAACAAAGTGTTCCCCAGCATCCATCCCTTTGAAAAGCACTCTCATCATGTTCCCTGTTAGAACATAATGTACACGCCCCGCATGAAGCCTGAAGATACGAATGGATAACTGTATAGTGCTCATTTGCTTGCCTTTTTTATGTACTTCATTAATTCTGCTCCATTTTTCCAAGGTTTGACTGTGCCAATGCTAAAGTCAAATTTTAACTTTTCCCCACCGACGTCATAGCCATCTAAAATCATGTAATGAAGGGCAGATGCAAGTGCAAGAACGGAATCATAGCACTTTCCAGTGACAACCTAATGACAAATAAACACATCTCATGTTTTGTAATCTTTCCACCTGTGTAAAATGAGAGACAGAATTTCCTTTGGAGTAGAGTATTTAGTAAGAAGAAACGACGTTTTGATTCCAAAAAAGGTCATTAAGTGAATGATAGGAAAACATAATGGTCTTTTTTTCACAGAGTGAACATGTTTGATAACGGTACGGCCATCAAACTGTATTAATGCAGTGACAGGTTGGTCTGATATTACAAGTACAGCTTCCAAATCAGAGGAGTGGGCAGCGTTATTTCGATCTTACATCTCGAGCGTAATTTCAGGCCAAATAACACGACACAAAGTTCATTTACTGATGTTGAATGTTTAAGTCGCTCAATGTAAATCAGGAGCCCATGGGTCGTGGGTAATGGCTCCTGCCTAAGTAAAGGATATATTATTGATCAGATATATAACACGCGTTTACTTTTTTGTCAAAGAAAGCAAATATTGGGAAAAGCTTTTAACTGATTCGCTTCACAATGGAATTTTTGTCATGATTCTTTGTATTACTTTAAAACTGAAATCCTGAAATCTGATTAATTGTTTTGCTTTAGAGTTACAAAATTTGATGCCGAGAAATAGATGAGATCCATAATGGAAGAAAGCACATTAACTCACTTAATAATGGTAATAATAATAACAAATATATATGAAATACATATATATGAACTGCGGTTATGAAACGTATATGTGCACGATCCTTCGCAGTAAAGCACTATTTAAGCAATAGTGAAAATCAGACCTGAAAAAAATTAGGCCTGTACGGGATTCGAACCACTGACCTCTGCGATACTAGTGCAGCGCTCTACCAATTGAGCTAACAAGCCAACTGGGAGCAGGCCATCAAATTAATTCGACATAAACCCGTAGATGATAAATCAAACAACAACAAACATATGATTCATATGTTTGTTGTTGTTTGATTTATCATCTACGGGTTTATGTCGAATTAATTTGATGGCCTGCTCCCAGTTGGCTTGTTAGCTCAATTGGTAGAGCGCTGCACTAGTATCGCAGAGGTCAGTGGTTCGAATCCCGTACAGGCCTAATTTTTTCAGGTCTGATTTTCACTATTGCTTAAATAGTGCTTTACTGCGAAGGATCGTGCACATATACGGTAATAATAATAATAATAATAATCGATATTTAAACAGGGTGACCCCTTCAGTCACACGACTGGTATCAACGGGGGTCCTGTATAACATAAAAAAAAAAAAGAGAGCAAAATAAATCATATATATACATATATCAATAAAAAATTAACTGATATAAAAAGTAACAATGTTCGATTTCAGAATGTTCTAAAACTAGCCTACGAATTAAAAAGCGGAGATAGCCGGGAAACGTTCCTTAGGTGGTAAAGTCTTACTGTCCATTGGAAGACTATTGAATGTCATTGCAGCATGATAGTAAAAAGACTTTTCAGCGACATCTAGATAAAATTTAGGAGATTAATGTCAGTGATTGACGAACTAGTACATCTTTGTTGGTTGTCGCTCTGGCTGCGTAACATGAAATAGTCTTTAAAGTATGAAGGAGGCACTTGTTAACTAACAGTGCACACTGCTTTTCCATAGGTCTTGTAAGAGGCGCCTTCTTGTAATTAGACTGCAAGGTTCGGAGGTGATACTAAAATTGATGTAATGAACTATATATTTGTCCCTTACTTACATCAAGTTCACCGTCTTTATGACTCTTCCATTCCCTGGCAACTTCCTTGTATCGGGAACCCTCACCAAAGGCTAACCGTGTTCCAATGACTCCATAAAACTGATTTAATACGAAATCGTCACCAAGGGTCTGCCAGTCCTTCCGACCAGAAAAGAAAAGAAAAGAAAAGAAAAGGGAACATTATAAAATTATGGTAAGTATACTATAGAGGCCTGGGGGCCTCGAATCTCCGCTTGCACGTCTTCGCGCAAGATATGGTACTCTTTTTAAACTCGAGCTTCTAAAGGGAATCTTCGCCGCGCAATCTCTCAGTCGGGTTATTTTTAATTATCATTCCGGTGTCGAAAGCTCGTATTTCGATTCCTCATGTCTTTTACGTAATTATGTCTCACTTGATTGATCTGCAAAACTTACGACAACATCTCAGCCAATTAGGTGCTAAACCACATATTCCTGTATACTCAGACGAGTGTAAGCTCTACACTTAGGGGAGAGAGAAAGTGATCTTACCCGTCCTGTTTGCGCATCTGTTATGATCCAGGCCCAATCAGTTGTCATTCCTAAGTCACCGGCTTGTTTCAGAATCTGTTTTGATTTTTCATCACAATATATTTATAATGCTGTTCTATATCAACGTTGCCACCTCGGAAAATATACTTAATGCCACCTCGCGTTGTACACTTGGGAAAGTTGACGGGAGTAGATCTCTTTTTGCACTCCACGAATCATGTCTGGAGGGGCAATTAGTGTCACCTTTTGTGGTGGCAGTGCAGGTAAATCAGAAAGAATTTATTCCCTTTCTTGCCAGATTAGCAAGAGAATAGGTTCATGAAATTGTAAATGCAGCGACATTAATTTGCGTTTAACTGTTCCCGCGTATTAGACACCAGGAACATGAGTCACGTGTCATAAGTGAGTCATGAGTTTTCCCTGATCCGAACGAGGTGAGTTCGGGGTTATCCGCTAGTTTGCCTCGTTTTCTTAGACTCATTATGAATTTTTCGCTATATCACCCTCTTGTGGCAAGTCCTAAGTTTACGGAGGGTTAAACAGAGGACATTGTGATCTATAATCGAGGTGGCATTGAAGTTACTACAGTTCAATTATGTCAGTTTTCAGAGTCCTTACCCACTGTCACATAAATGGATTACAAAAGTAAATGATAATTAAACTAGTCCCTGCTTTGATTCATTCTTTAACGTCCCCTGCATCGGTGCGCATAGTGCAAGTCTAATAAGTAGTCTGTACAGACCTACTCACCTGTCTTGAGTATCTCAGATAACAATTCAAAACCACGATTCTTGTGCCAGTTTGACGGATCCATTTAAGCTGCTTTCTAACGTCAAGTGAATTAGGATCTGAGACAGGCTCAAAATGCTCATGCGCCACGACTATCCATCCTCGTTTATATGCTTCATCCTTCAGAGCTAAGACGCCATTAATACCTGGAAAATGGTTTGATCATCTGTATCATTCATTGTGACCATAAACATTATTCTTGTTATCAACTAGCATGCACTAACCTATGTAGGGGGTCGTTGGTGGACCGTTATGAACTACATAAAGTTATCACGACTCAAATGAGAGGAGGCAAATGTAACCATTTGCATTATTTCACCTTTTGCTTTATTTGCAAAAATCAATTATCGCGCGAGCAAGAGTAAAATAATTGGTGCATTGAAAACGATCCGAAAATACATTTATCAAT